CTAGCTGGCAGAGAGAGAGAGAGTGCTCTGCCCTCTTCCTGTATTTCAATTTACATTCCGCCCGCAGGACTTATTGCTTTTTTCGCTTTGATCTTCCCCTTTTTTTTGGCCAACAGCCGCCACCCCCAATTTCCACCACCTCGACGAACTCATGGCTTTTTATGGCCACGTCCTTTGACGCTTATCGTCAGGCTTGGCGCTGGAACTGGCACCAGGGCCCTGCCTCAAAGGGGAACACATTTGTCTTCTCCAAACTCGATTTCAGTTTCGAAGGGCAGCAATAGTAGAGAAAAGATTCAGCACTTTGCGAAGAACATGTAAATTGCTTATCACTTTTAAAGCTGAGAAACCCATTTAATGTTCTATAAATTGATATTAGTATTACAACTAATTCTTAGTATTATTATTGATATATTTATATTTCAAAGATTGGTTTCCTATTTCTCTCACTGTACCCAAACAACCTCTTGGCCATATGCATGGAAACTGCTTTAAGTTGGTCATAAATACGCACTTACCAGGAATTGTTCGAGTGTCCTTGGACATGCGGGTCTTGGCAGGACAACAAGGCCATCTTAGCAGGACCTTCTCTTATTTGAATTTGTGTTTTGGCCAAAAAACAAGGGTGAGATAAGAGTACGTCAAACAGACAAGAAAAATGTCATGGCTTTGCTTTTGAAAAAGAGAAAATCTTTAAGCAAGTTCTAGGACAATAAACCAAACTTAAGACAGTTTAATTTTGTTCTTATACATAACCCATTAAGTTGAAATTTCTGTAAAGACCAATAATAATTTATAAATCAAACTTAATCATTCGAAATCAGCCTACCAAGACGCCTTCTCCTAGCCAGTCTTAGATTCGTTTCACCTGCAATAGCACACTTTCATTTCCGCACCTCCTCACCAAAGTTCGTGTTCAACAGCCCGTCGGCCACAACATTTAAATTTATTAAGGCCATAAAATGATATTTTTGCGGCCTCCGCCAGCGTTGCTACAAATGGGCTCATAAATATTTAAAACCGCTTAAAACACGCACGAGAGCCGAAAACCCAAAGCTAACAAACGTTTAATTTTATTGCCCTGGCCAGCAACCGCATCCCCCAATCCAGCCCAGCCCACTCTCCCCCACTCCCTTCGATCCCTTCGTGCTCGCATAAAGGGCTGCTCCTTGGCGCAGCCAAGTCGATAAAAGATTTTAATTCCCCTTTGATCGCGTTTGGGGATCACACCTATTCAAATCTTGGCCATGTCTTGGCCACCCAAAAGCCAAGAGCCCATTAAAAGGCCGTAAAACTGGACTTAAGTAGTATCGCCCTGCAGCCACATGATCCCAGCTAATTGAAAAGGTAAAAACTGAAATTTGTGTAAATTATTTTCTGCATAAATTATCTACTTGATGGCTGTGCAGTGGCAGGTATGTTGGCACCTGGTCGGTCACCTCCTATCATCAAGGATTTCTCATAGCCCGGGCTTAGCTGTGCTATTGAGAAGCCCAGCTTGTCTATAAACATAGCTGAGCAAGGCAATAAAATTATCCGAAGACAAAGTTTGAGTTGTATATTGTTCTTTAACAATGTTTCGAAATGAAAATGTACCAAAGATAACCATTAAATTGAACTACGATTGACTCTTGAGAAACTTCCTTAATTAATTAGAATTCTATTTTTAAATCGCAATCTAACTTAGCGAGATTCCCGACGAGCTAGCAACACTGACTGCCACCAATTGACAATCTGACAATCAAGCGAGTTTATGCTGGATTTTATAGTCTCCGTGGAGCAGTTGGACATTCGGTGCGGGCCAGGTCGGTGGACATTTTGATGACTCTGGCCAAGGGATTCGACGTGGCCTGGGGCCCTGGGATAGTCGTTAAAGTTTTGACGATCCCTCCGGAAGCGTTTTAATTTGTTTTGGCACCTCGACTAAAAGCTAAAAGCTGGAAGCGGATCGAAGCTTGATTTTAATTAAATCTCAACGAAATCAGAGTTTTATTTATATGTCTGCCTGGCGTTTTGTTAACCCATTAGCGGCGACAACATCTCTGCCGGACAGTAAGTATATTGCAGTGGTCGTTTTACAGTTGTCTGGCCAGCAGCAAAAAGCACTGGATCTGGCGGGGATTGGGGGTCAGACCGTAGACCGGAGGCCGGGGAGAGAGTGGTCCGTCTGAGGCGCTGCCATGTTTAGTGGCAATTAAAATGTTTTTATCTTATTAGTGCGTCTTATCTGCGGCTGCCATTTAAAGATATATGCGAGGGACGTGCGCGAAACGCCGACCACAACAGTTATCGATTGTGCAGCATCTATGGGGCATCCCAAGATGGGGGCCAGAGAAGGTACAGGTCCAGAGATTAAGCTTGATTGAAAAATTTCTAGAGTTCTTCTACTCTCTTAAAGCGATTAACCTGACCCGCTTCTGCTTCCTTGTTGAATTCCCACAGTCTAAACATTTTGTAGGTTGATAGCAAAATTTCTCTATAGATTTCATTTCAATCTGAAATGTTTAAGTTTCTAACTTCTAACCTTTCGTTGAGTTCTGGACAGGAGCAGTAATTGACCATGTCGCCTCCTGGGCCTGCCAGCTAATCACATGCAACACCAATCAATTCCAAGCGCCTTTTAAGCCAGCAGGCCAGACACAAATCAATCGGTCGACTTGCACGCTTCGACATTTCTCGATTGAATTATTATCACCAGAGTCCGGCTACCAGTATCCAGAGACTGGAGTCTGGAGACTGGAGACCTGGGCTCGAGCTGCATCCAGAGACTGACAGCTGTGCGGTGGCTTTGACTGGTCCCGGGAAGGTGGAAGGTGGTAGGTGGAACCCGGTCCGTTGACCACGACCACAATGCCCCAGTGGCCATGTTCATGTTGGGCTCTTGCTCGAGTGGAGCGGGCGACCATATTTGCAGCAGGCGGGCCAACAAGTTGCAAAACAAATTTGTCAGAGTGTTTCCCATTTTTGGGCAGGCGTTGCAACTTTGGCCATGTGATTTGTGCAATGCGTTGCTGATGTCGATGTTGCAGCAGTTGTTGGTGTTGCCTTTGCTGTTGCTGTCGCTGATGCTGATGCCGATGCTGATTCAGTTGCAGTTGCACATGCAATTGCTCTTGTTGCTGGGGACGTTGGTTCCGGCGCAATGTTGTCATTAGCTAATTTGGCAGCCGTCTGCGTTTAATTAGAGGGCCGCCGCGGAGCTCCGACCCGGAGCAACACTTTCGATTTTAGTCCCCTTGCGCTGCCCCGTGATCGGCCACGCCCTCAATTCGGCCCTGCACCGCCCCACTCCGATCAAAAAACACAACAAGAAAATATTGCAAAGTAAAGTTTTTAAAAATCCTACAAAAGAGGTCTTTTCAGGACAGAAAGTAATTAATATATTTAATCTATTACTAAAACAATATGCAAAAAGGGTTTACTTAATCTTCATTTTTAAATAATCTGTTTAAAAAGGGCAGTGAAATGTGAATTTTAGGTTTTCATTTATTTTTCTGAGTGTGCCAGGTGGAGATCACGTCTCACGTAGGGGCCATTAAAGGCCACAGCATCACGATCGAGTTGAAGCTGAAGTCGGAGCAGGAGTTGGAGCTGGGTCTTTGAGCTGGAGCTAGGAGTCGGAGCTGAGTGAATGACTTTGAGTCGGCCTGTCGTCACACCCCCATGTAATCCTCGCACGATCTCTGCGCTTGAACCTTTTTGATTAGGGCCGGGGCAACGGATCGGCAAACTGACTGACAGAGCCGTCCACTCCCCCAGATCTCCCGAATCCCCCACTCCGAATCGCCACGCAAAGGTCGTTAAAGTCGCATCGCTGCTGTTGCCGCTGGGCCCGCAGATTTTGGCGGGTCTTGGATCTTGGCTCTTGGCTCAGGGCTCAGGGCCTTGTCCTTTCTGCGCTTCATCAGGGCTTAGTTATGATCTGGATTACCCTTTCAGAATGAGTACTCGGTTTACATGCTGTGAAAAGTTCGTCAAAGATGACTTACTACTACTTTTCTGATTCTGACGTTTTACTTAATATTTCCTTAAACGATTATTTCCACAAACAAAGAAGACATAAACAAGATTGTTACATCAATTAAAAAATATTTAACATGCACTTCTGTCCTAATCTGACTTTCCATCCATAAATATATTGCATTCCATTTGACCATTTTTCAATTTGCCACAATTTGTCAGCATGTAAGTGCAATTTCTCCGGCCATAATTTCAGGTTCGGAAGAGTGTACCGGAGTCTCCATGAGTTGCAAGCTAACTTTGTTTTCTCTTTTCATTGAACGTTGTGCAAATGTGCTAATCCGAAAGAGGCAGACGCGACCAGGAGGCTGCTCAATCCAATATTTGGTATTTTTGAAATACCGTCACGTTTCGACATTTTACTACTCACTTGTGGCACGTTGTTGCCATTGAGCATATCAGTTCGGAATTTTATTGGCCACGCTTCTTGCCTGCGTAGCTCCACTCCTCTCTCCGTCGACCCCATCTCCATCTCCATCCTCACCTTCGCCATTGCCTTTGCCATCGCCATTTGGACTTCGGCTCACTGATCTTGGCCTTGATAGCCGCATATGAAGGCGGCCACAGACCATTCCCCACTCCTCCGATCAGTAATCTTTCCATTCCGTCCTCCGTCCTCCATTCTCCACTCTCCCGGCTCCTGACATTTATATTGGCAAATATTTTAAATATTCCCTGCTCCCCATGTGGGAGTCGTCTTCCTCCTGGCCGAGGCTTCAGGTGTCGTTATCGCGTCTCAATGGTCTTTATGACCACTCGGTGGAGTGGGTAAAACGGGGAGACCACGTCATTGTTTCTGAATCGGAAGACTCTTAACTATAATTGGAATTTTTATTGTCAGGTGGAGTCTGAGCGGGATTGAGGGCGGATCAATCTTTTTAGTAGAGGAGAATTCTATAATTTAAAACTTAAAGCCAGAAAATGAAAACTTTTACCAGGATCACAGATTTTTCAAAGTATCATTGGTTTCTCATCCGCAGCTGCCACATCTTTACCCACCTACCGGCAGAACAGCGGTGATGCCGCTAACCCCACTACCCCACCTGTGGATGGACTGCCTTTGGGCTTCGAGGAAGCTGGCACTATAGAGCTACAGGCTCAGGAGAACGACTACGTGTTAGAGGAGTCCGCCCTAAGAGTTTCGCTCTCCCCGCCGCCCAATTACTGCCCCCATCCTTTGACCCCACCGCCCAGTTACACGGAGAGACCTAGAACTGTCCAGGAACAGGAATATCATCAAGCAGTTTCAGTGCATCCAGCCACACCAGCACGTGTAGTAGTGTTTCGACCAGCAGGAGGAAGTGCAGGAGCCAGCGAACTAGCAGCTCGTCAGCAGGCAAGACGGAGACGGCGACTCCGCGAACTTCAGCAACAGCAGCTGCAATTTGCCTCCAGCACAGATAGCTCTAGTAGCTCCGCATCCAGTTGCTCCGAGTTAGAAAGCGGTGGCAGTGCCACTAGACGGCAGCGTCGACGCAGGCGTGGACTTAGAGGTAAGGAACTGAGCCTGCAAGACCCTTGACTAAGAGCTCTTTCAAAAATCAAACCTAACGGCAACAATCTCCCTTTTGCAGATGCTTACTGTCCAGATCTGCTAAACGCCTGCTCCCTGATACTCCAACAGCCCGGCAGCAGCGACAGTTCAGTTGGTAACTTCACAGCCACTCCTCCGCCCCCGTCGAGAGAACCTAATCCACGTAATCATCAGGAGGAGAGCTTCGAGTACACCTCGGACTATGTGGAGATCGACGAGCTGCTGCCACTAGTCGCCGGCGGGCGAGCGAAGAGCACACCGCAGCTGGCGATGGGTCAAAACCTGAGCCTGCGACGGCCGCGCATCTCATTGACCTGGGTGCTCCGAGAGCAGCAGCAGACACAGACGGCTCCACAATCACAAACGCCCCCATCACCCCAAAAGGAGGTGCCTAAGGAGTCAGACTCCCAGGTGGATCGCAAGGAGATCGAGGTCTTCCCGACCAGAACAGAACCGGTGCCCACCCAGCTGGATGTCACCAAGAAGCGGTATCGGGTCAAGCAACTGCCAAGTGGCGGTGAGCCTCTCAATGGCTATGCCACCACGCCTACCGCCCACCAAGCTCCGGCAAATGGTCACCTGGCCAACCAGAAGTTCTTCAGCAACCAGAATCTGTTGGATGTGTCACGGAGTGGCCCAAATGGAGCCCCGGTGGCCGCCGCCTCGACCAAAGAGCTGCTCTTCGTGTGCACACCTCAGAGAGCGCCACGAAGTGATAATCATAGCGAAGCCCTGCTCCTGGCCAGAAAGCGGAACGAGATCCGCAAGAAGTTGGCTTCCCGCCTGCAGCAGGCAAGGTCCAGTGGCTCGCAGGCGGGGGAGGCCAGGGGATCGGTCACAGGAGCAGAGTCACTGAAGTGCACCTCCTACTCGGAGCCCAGTTTGGTGGCAGCCTCCGAGGGTGGCGGAGTGGGAGGATCCGGCGGAGGAGCTGCTGCCCCCCAGCAGCAGAGGCGCCACAGGCATCGCAAACGGAGGGATCGTAATAATCGTGTCCAGAGATTCGGCTACGAGATCCACAACGTAGACGAGTTCCTCTCCCGCTGCTCACTGGCCACTCCCGGCAATATACCTGTGGTTCTAGCCACGGCCAGCACCCTATATCAAACCAGGCCAGGTGGCTACCAACTGGAGATTCCACTGCCTCTGGGCATGGTGGTGAACGCGGTATTCAAGAACCAGAATTGGCTGTATGTGCAAACACCTCACGCGGAGGAGGGCTATGTGGGCTATGCTTGCTGTCTTCCCCTAGGGATTCTGCCCCAGCAGGCGAGGGCTGGGTCCAGGAACACTCCCTGCTGGGAATCCAATGCGGATGTCTTCCCCAGGCCTTGTGGCAATATGACGGATTCGGAGAAGGAGATACGCCTGCGGGGTGGCACCCGATCCGATGGCGCTCGCACTCCACGCAGCTCTAAGGCTCCTGAAGATGCCCTCAAGATCAGCACCACCACCATCAACAACAACAACAACCACAGCAACAACAATAACCAAACGAAGTGCGGGAGCACAACCAGCTCCTTGTACGGAGAACAGCAGGTGGACAAGCTGTATCTAAGAGCGGCATCCAAGCCGCGCCTGGTGGAGAAAGCCTACGCCCAGTTACGCTCCACCCGCCAGGTGGCTGCTTCTGGTTCCGCTTCTGCGAAGAGTGGAGCCTCCCAGGATGAGTACGTGACCCTGCAGCAGAAGTCTGTAAAAAAGCAGCCAAGTACCCAGAACCACCTCCATCACTCACAGCCAGCGGCGAGGCGGCTTTCCAACGTGTCCTACATTACCAACGGCCACAATGGCCAGCATCTGCATCCAAAGTTGGTACCACTGCCACCCTACGAACACAAGCCGGCCAAGAACCAGGCGGAGGCGGACGTGACCCTCAAGGCGTTACGTCGTCAGCAGGAGGTGGGCCAGCGGCAAACTCTAGTCGCCATTAACACGGACTACATCACGGAGAGCATTGCGGTGCACAAGGGCGAGATCGTGACGCTGTGCGAGTGCCGCGAGTCCAAGGACCAGCGCCAGTGGTTCTACGTTCGGACACGGGACGGTCGCGAGGGCTTTATTCCGGCTGAAGTGGCCGGCCATGGCTACCTGTAGACTTTTGTCACCTACGATGGGTTCTTTGGGTCTCTGGATAGGATTCAAAAAGCTGAAAGTAATCTATAGACAATGCTAAAGAGTTTTTAGGAACCTCTCTTATATCATCTTAGTTGCTAAAATCCCCCTTCTATATGGTCAAATTTATACTTCAATCTCTTACAACCTATAACCGAATTTATCAAATTTGTAAGGATTAATATTCCAATATATCTTTTATGAGTATTATATCTTAGATGATAAATTATTGAATCCAACTACCACAAATTGTCCATAGTTTGCCTTCTGACTTTTGTGATCCTGACCCAAACTACCCAACAACCCACCCCGAAACCAAGTCAAGCTCTACCTTTAACTCAATTAACATTATATCCATCTTAAGCATTTATAGGCCACACATTCCATTCGCGATCCTTAGTACGCTTCTAGTTGTAAACTGTATTCGTATTGGTGTCTGTAATTGAATACTTGTATCTGTGTATGTGTGTGAGTGTGAATCCTGTAAAGGATCTTGTATTTATCTAGCCTAGCATTACGAGTAGTCTATGTAATAGAAAACTTGCTTAACGGAAATCAAAGAGTAAAGCGCGGACGTAAACTATTTATAAAATTACTGTACTTGATGCTTCTACTAATTAAAATAAACAGACATTTAAATAAATAAATGGAATTTCCTTTGTTTTAAGAGAGTGGTTAGCTATAGGAAAGGCATGTTCTTAAAATATTTTTATGGTTTTATTATTCGCGATTTGAAAATATCGAATTCGTGTATATAAAGATTAACATATTTCTTGCTAAAATGCTTTTCTTGATAGAGTTATAATCGGATTAACTTTCACACAATCATAATGTTCCAATATTTGACCTAGTTCTTAATATTTGATCTACAATCTATTTATCTGAGTTTTATACAATTTTGGCCAAACATTTTCGTTTAATTTTGATAACAATTATTCTGCTAAATATTTCATCGTATTAAAAATATCGATGCCAAATATGATCGGTTTTGATGTATTGTTTATGCACTCTAAACGTAAGCTGCTTATTAAAAATATAAATACCATATGCTTATGCTATTGATATCAATGTGTATACGCATGGATTTGTTTACAAATTATTGCAACCTTAGATCCGACGAGTCTGTCTCAGAGACACTCCACAATTTTAACAGGAAGAGGTGTTAAAGGTACTTAATTTAATATGATTTCAATTAGGTTGTTAGTCGAGATGGTACAGTCGTTAATGTTAGTACAATTTAGAGCCAGTGAAGCAGACATTTACAAAAGTGAGGACCATTGATGGGTTGTAAAGGGCCCCTGCATAATAATTTACAATTGTTGAGCAGACATGGCTTACTGAGCGAACATACAAAATGACAGAAAACATAATCGAATGCAAGACAAATGCTACTCTAAAATACACAACACAATCACGTTAACAACTAAGGTTCTAGGAAATATAGTAAACTAAAGTTGGCATGTACCAGTTGGGATAGGTTAACCCTATACACACACATTAAAATATGTTGATGACTTAAGAGCTAACCAGCGGGAGAAGTGACTGTTCCGGATGTCTACTTTCGAAATTCCGGACTGGAACTGGGCGATGCCGTCGACACATTGTCGAGGTTGGTGTTGGTATTGTCGAAGCTCTCGTGCTGCGGCTCCGGCTCCGTGGGTGGCAGCGGTTTGTTCAGCAGAACGGTCATGTTCTTCACGTTGCTGGGTTTTTCCTCGTCTTGGTTAATGTTGAGCATGGCATCGTTCATGCGGTGGTAGTGGGGCTTCTGCGAGGTGCTGGGACGCGAGTAGTCGAGGTGATCGTATTCATCTAGGAAACACAATTCAAATAATTAGATGGTTTGAACTTAAGAGAACATTTCAAACACTGGACATGGTGAAAAGGGACAGAGCAATACACATAATGGTTCTTTAATATTTGCTTACCCTCGGGAAACAAAATCTTGCTATAAATTTTCACTGATTCATGTCAAAATGTGTGCAAATGTGGAGTTCATTGTTAGTTGCATAATTACTAAGCATACTTATAATAGAGTCTAAAGACATACCGGGGTCCTTGTAGCCCTCCTTGTGTTTTATCTCATCGTAGACGTGTTCCTCCTTCAGGGATTCATTGTAAACGATCGGATTAGTTAGATCCGCATTCAAGTTCTTGGTTAGCAGGTCGTGGTTGTAGTTGATCGAATAGCTGCCTACTATACAAATACAATATTATAAGACGATGATTCTAAAGGTTAGATTCTATATTCCTTACCTCTGCCACTGGCGTTGGAGTCATCGTAATCCGTGCTCATCGTGCTCCTATTGTCAAAGTTGTTCATCTTGGAACGCATATTGTTGGGCAGAAGGCGCGTCTCCGCCTGCATACCATACACGGGATTATCAAAGTTGTGGTTGGGTGGCCAGCTTGTGGGGTTCGTCTCATGGGTGTAGTGCACATGGGCAATCTCCGTTTTCAGATTGGACACCCGTCGGCGGTAGTAGAAGAACACAGCAAAGATGATGCAAGCGAATAGGGTCATAAGAACTAAGGTCAGAGCAACACTAGCTCGGCTCGCTGTAAGTAAAAGGAATCCGAATGAGTAAAGCAAAAGGATTTTCATCCCGATTATTAACTCACAATCGTCGCTTTGGTCAGCAATACGTTGGGAGGCGATGAGCTCGTCACAGTTTTCGCCTGTGTAACCACTCCTGCACACACATCCATGAGCAGCATGGCACTGGAAGTTGGCCGACGGACAGGCACATATATTCATGCAGTGTTCGCCGTAGAATCCCTCCGGACAGACCTCGTCGCAACGGGTGCCGGACCAGCCAGCTTCGCATATACACATGCCATCGGCCTTGCGGCAGACCTTGTGGTGCACGCAGCGGCACCTCTGGGCGCATCCCTGTCCGTAAGTATCCGTGGGGCAGGATTCGTTGCAGTTTGCGCCGGTCCAGCCGGGAAGACACTGGCACTGTCCGCTTACGTGGTTGCACTCGCCGCCGTGCTCGCAGTTACACTTGAGTTTGCAGCTGGGGCCGTACAGTCCGGCGGGACATGGGTGCTCGCAGGTGAGTCCGATGTAACCAGTACGGCAGAGAATTTCACCAGTAATATGATCGCAGCTCTTGTTGCCTGCAAAACACAGAATTATTAGTACATAATTAATTTCGGTCATGTTTAATTCCTCATTTTAATATATCTCACCGTGCAGAATCTCTGGGCAACGTTCCTTGCACTCCATGCCATAGAATCCTGGCGGACAGGGCTCTGCGCAGTCGGCGCCCGTCCAACCTGGGGAGCAAATGCAGTTGCCGGAGTCGGGATCGCAGGACGAGTTGTTCAGGCATCTGCAAACTTTATCACAATTTTCACCATAGTAACCGCTCCGACAGTTGGTCTCGCAATGAACGCCTTGGTTTGATTAGTCGTTGGGCATCAGACAAGGACAACAAAACCCAAAAACACACGAGTGCATTACCAGAAAAGCAAATTAAATAATAGAAATGAAAAATGTGCATGCAGAAAAGATGCAATTCAAATGAAGGAGATGAGGTGAGTGCGGAGTATTAATGCTTGGAGCTGAGACTAATCTTGGGGATTGGCCTACACATAAACCCTTCTCTCACTTCTTACCCTTACAGTCTTTATAAAGTTATGGAAACACGTTTAAAGTGCAGCAAGTTAAAGTGAGTACTCGGCTAATACACTTCTACTGATAGATTCTTTAAATACAAATCAAAACGTAAATAAATGGTTAATTAATTAATGATACATCATAGGCAATGGTAATCAAATCATATTAAGCTTTTAAATTTATTTATAAAGAAGAATTATAGTTTTCCTTGACACTTGTGATTGTCGTTCTTCTGCAATTTTAGGGGCATTTGATCATGCTGATGATCTCAATGAGCTATGAACTTGATGAGGTGAATTGTATGAAGTATATTGAAATCCCTCTAGTACCTCCCCAATCCTGCTTGCACACGCATCGTCCGTTGGTGGCATCGCAGGCCAGACTGTTGTTGAAGTCGCACTGGCACTTCTGTTCGCATTCGTGTCCGAATCTTCCAGCATCGCATTTCCGTTCGCACTGATCGCCCGTCCATCCGGCGGCGCAGGTGCAACTTCCGTTTTGGGGATTGCAGGCGGCGTTGTTCTGGCAGTCACATACCTTGGCGCAGTCCTGTCCATAGTGGTTAAGATCACACGGACGGTCGCACTTGATATTCTTCCATCCAGCCTTACAGAAACACTGACCAGTCTCCGGCTGGCACTTGGCTCCGTTTTGACAGTCGCAGCGCAGGGCGCAGTCCTGGCCAAAGGTACCCGGCTCACAGCTCTCCTCGCAGGTAGGTCCTTTCCAACCTGGCGCACACAGGCATGTTCCATTCACTGGTGAGCACTTGGCTCCATTCTTGCAGTTGCAGGTTAGTTCGCAATTTGGACCGTAGCGCAGGAACGTGCAGGGTCTGGTGCACTGGGCACTGCTCCACCCGATGCTGCATTGGCACTTTCCCGTCTCCGGGTGGCACAGGTCCGTGTGCTCCATGTCGCACTCGCAGGTGCTGTTGCAGTCCAATCCGTACTTGTCAGCCTCACATATCCTCTCCTCGCACTTTGCTCCTGTCCAGCCCGGATTGCAGATGCAGGATCCATTTGCCCGATCGCAGGTCGCATCATTCGCGCAGTCGCAGGTCATGCTGCAGTTGAAGCCGTACGTGTTGAAAGGGCACTCGTCGAAACAGCGCTCTCCCAGATACCCGGGCGGACACTCGCATTTTCCTGTGATGTGGTGGCAGGGCGCTCCCTTGTAGCACTCGCATGACTCTTGGCATCCCGGACCGTAACTGCCAACCGGACACTTGTTGGCACACACATTGCCAGTCCAGCCAGGATTGCACATGCAGGCCCCGCTCTCCGGCTGACATTTTCCGTCGTTCTGGCAGGGACAGTCCTGCTGGCACTGGGCGCCATGTTTCCCGTCCGGGCAGTGCATATCGCATCTAGTTGAAGCGGAGGATTAGTATTGTTTTGAGGGTGGCATAACCTAACTCGCAGGAGAAAAACTAATCGTAGGATGCATTGGTTTAAGAATAAGAATCATTATTACACTCCCAAGGCATTCTACGTTTAGTTTTCGTATGATGTCAGCGATAGGGTTATGCCGCCCAAGAGGCTCCTCACATTTCGTCCACTTACAAGGGACCTGTGAAACCAGGCGCACACTGGCATTCACCGGACACGTGGTGGCACTTGCCGCCGTTTTCGCAGCGACACTTTTCCGAGCAGTTGGCCCCAAAGAAGCCCTCTGGACAGATGTCTGCACAGCGCTCTCCGACGTAGCCCTTGGCGCATTCGCAGTCGCCGGTAAAGGGCTCACAAACCGCGTTGTTCAGACAGTCGCACTGCATCGAGCAATTCCGGCCGTACCAGCCCGGCGGACAATCTACCGAAAAGTGACACAAACTTGGTTACAGCGGGTACGGTTCACAGGGATCGTACGGGATCGACAGTTAGTTGCTGCTTGCTTGCTCTGTTGCATTTTGCTGGTAAGCCACGGCAAACCCAGGAGGGTAAGCCACGGCAAACCCAGGAGCCTGGATAAGTTCCGCTCCCGGATCGTGCCGTTTTGGTGAGGGGAATTATTAGTGACCGAAAGCCTGCTTGCACCTGAATAATTGAGCCAGAGTGGACTGCATGTGGGTGTGAGAGTGGAGTGTAGAGTGTGGGTGGGTTGTGGGTTGTGGGTTGTGTTAGATTTCGGGTCAATATGGCAACTTAAAAGTTCAAACCAACTCAAGCTAATAAGCAACATACAGGGAGAAAGCAAAGTACAACTACGGAGATACTACGTGCGGATCTTTGGTAGTCCAAAGATAACATGCCCTTGCAGAAGCAAGTTTTTGACTCTATACACTAAATACCTAAAATTCTACATTTATTCTCACATCAAATATACAAATTCAACTTTTTGAGTTCTAAAAACATTTAATTTTGAGTAACATAATGGGTTTCCAGATCATAGCCTATTTACTGTCCCTTTGTTTCAAGAAGTAGGAGTACCTACTTGGCGTCCCGGGCAGAAAGACATGCTCTCGGAACTGCTCAAGGTCGAAGTCGTTGGGTTCGTATATAAAAGGTTCCTTGTTATTTACAGAAGTTGAACTCATTTGTTTTGGTAGTTCCTCGGTTGGAATTATTTCTTTGTCTGCTTTTGGAGTGATCCCAAGCACCTTCCAAATATCGTACTCCGACTCCTCTGTCACCAGCGACTGTTGTACAAAGCTTTGGACACTTGGCGTTGGGGGCGGATAGTTCAGCAAGCACTCTTTCCTTTTCGCCATGTCATCAAGGATCTTCTGCGTTATCGGATGCCTCATCGTCTTGGCAAACTCAAACACATCGAGTACACTTGGGAAACGTTCCGTATCGCAGACAAAGCTAGTTTCTTCAACAAAGACGTTCCGCCTGACTATCAGGTCTGCCTCCAACTCTTCTTCCTCATTAAGGTCGCAGTCCCTACAATCGAAGTAGGAAATATTTGTGTTAGCGTTAAGAGCACAAATCAACGTGATGCCTAATTTTGGACCCAATGGAATTGCCGCCATTATTAACCTGCGCAGAGGATCGTGCCCACGCAGCAGAACGCTGATATCGTCCGCAACTGTCCGAGGATTCGCATCAATCCCGGAAATATTAAGTTCCTGCACGTGCTCGGTGCCTATGAGACGGTTGCAGAGAATGCTTAAAGCATCGCCGCTCATCTTGTTGTGAGCCAATCCCAGATAATCTAGCTTAGCGAGGCTCGGTTTCTGCAATGCAGCTCCTATGGCTGTCATGGCCCGTGTGTCCAGGCGATTGTATTCCAGCTCAAGAGACTTCAGCATGTGTGGCCGGTCCAGTAGGCTTCCCAGCTCGGGACCGCAATCGTCAGTCATCTGGTTGTAGCCAAAATCCACCACCTCTAGCAAGGGCAACAGGCGCAGCGCCCGGACCAGTGTATAAAGTTTTATGCTGCTCAGCCGACTGTTTCGAAGTCGGAAGATCTGCAGCTGCTGCAACGATGCTAGTCCCCGGGCCAGGCGGTTTATGTCTTTGACCGAGAAAAACGAGTGCCGCTTGTGGTACTCCCTACCCAACGCTGGACCTAGAAACTCCAGGTTTAGCGATACCAGGTTGACGAAATGGCGAACAAAGCTAAGATCAATGTGGTGACAGTCATCCTCCGGATAATTCATATTCTGGAGGTGCTTAAGATACTTTAGCTTATTTCTCCTGTCCATCTTCTTGATCTCCCCATCTTCAGGTTCCGGCTCGACTTGGATGTCAAAGGCGCCTTGGATACGCTGCTTCCGTTTTTTTTTCTTGGTCTTCTCCGGTATCTTACGCTTCCGCATCTCAGAGATCCGAAGCTTGCGCTCTGCGCGTTCCGCTTCCTTGGCGGCCTTTAGATCTCGCAACCGCTGGCGGGCGGCGTTTCGCTCTTGCCGGCGCTTTCGCCTCTCATTGTCGGAGCCTTCTTCCTCGTCCGAGAAGTTAAGGCTAAAATTTGTTTTGAATCCAATAGCCTTATTGGGCTCAGAACGCGATGACGTCGATTCCTCCTCTTCCCCCTCCTCGTCACCATCTTCTGGGGTCATTGGCTCATCGCTGGAAATTTCTATGCCCTCAGACTCTTCGGAGCTGATTTCCGGTTCCGAGTCATCTTCTTCTCGTCCCGCTTTCCGGAATGAATACTCCGTCAGTGATTGTAGGTGCCGAATGTCGATGGAGCGCACATGCTCATAAATCAGCTCTGCCAACTCGGACATCTCTTGCTCTGGCCAGAGCGCTGCTGGGCAGGCTTCAACTAGTTCCACGTACTTTAGACTCAGCCCCTTGGGCCGCCAGTCGTAATCGTTTAATCCCTTCAATACTAGGCAAGTCTCGGAACACTTGGCCAATACGACGCGCCTCCAGTAGCTCACATCCTCCACGGAATAGCACTCTCGCAGTGGCAGTTCCACATCTAAAGAGTCGTAGAATATGCGCATCTTCAGCGGATCTTCGCGCACGGCAGCGGGCACGTGGGCATTCCCACGCTTAGCCAACTGTCGGACGCACAGATCCGCCAAAGTGGGCACTTGGTCAGGGCCATTTAATAGCTCTGCAAAGGTCTCCCGGTTGCGCTCGGAAAGCAAATGCTGATTGGCGGTCAAGGGCGATCGGTACAGTTCATACACAGCCAGCAGGGCAGGCTCATTCGGTACACTCAAGGTGTTGGCGTTTGTTAGCGGCAGGTAATCGAAATCCTCCTCGTCCATCCTGTGTTCCTTCCTGTATGTTGTAGTGTAGTGTAGTTGGTTTTGTAGATATTTTTTGTGGTATTTTTATGTTATCCCTTTTTTTGGGGTTTCTTTTGTACTTTTGACATGTGCTGTCTGTTGTCTTGTCACCTATATCGAATCATAATTTACTGAGCAATTTGCCTACCTAATACTCAAATGGTAACCCTGAATCTATGGTGTATTAACAATTTCTATTATTTTAGTTTATGCTACTTCTATCAATACATAAATTTCCTCTATTATTATCAGCTCCTTGTTTATACATTTTTTGCGCATTTTCAAGACGCTCCATATGAACACATAAAGGTTCTACTTATATTGATAAATTCAGTGGCATAACAAACATTTCTAAGCAAAATCCCTAATCTGTGCTTTGCAAGGGCATTTAGAACAAAGCTTCAAAGCTCTTATCAATTGGGGTTAGCTCATCGCGCGTGGCGGACCGCACCCTAAGAGCACCCAAGGCAGTTCATTGTAAAGATTCCGTTAAAAACACACAACATTTAGGTACAAAATACGAGTAAGTTAAGGGTCAACGAACTTATATCACAGGCAGGTCCTCCGTAACCATGATCGCACTTGCACTTCTCCGGGGATATGCATCTGCCATGCTGGCAGGGTTCCGAGCAGTGTGGCACACATTCTCCTGCACTGGCAATGTAGCCCTCTGAAAGGTATGCAAATTTCTTAACATGGTTCAAGGTTTCTCTAGCTTTTCCTACTTACCGCAACAATCTCTTACATAACGGATCTTGCTAATCGTCTGGGTCTTGTTTACCACTCTTTGTTTGATGCGATAGGTGGAACAACGTAACGGGAATGTTAGGCACCAAGTGGCGCCGCGTTCTTGGTAAGATTGCAGTTCTGTGAAGACAACTTCCACAGGATACCTAAAGGTTCATTAATTTATTAATAGTAGCTGACCATTTTGATTGCTATATAGACTACGCTTACGTTTCTCTTTTTTTACATATATTAGGTCCATCCAGATCTTTTAGATCTGCCTGCGCTAAGATTAGCTGAGCCAGGCTGGCGATGAGGATCAACCGAAACATGATGGCAGTGAGTTTCAGGTCCTGAAGTCGATTTCTCTTTCTGATGCAGCTACAGTGGTGGATCACTTCGAACTCATAATCACAGACAGTTATTACAGGATGACTCAAACTGCGATTAAGCCAGATCCAACTGAAAGAACAAAGAGAGAACAAATTGCATTAGTCAGTTTTTCAGATCATCAGTTTAAAGTGTTATGAAGAGTAAAAGCATAACATAGAATCCATTAAGCAAATGTACAAAACATAAAATATGTTATTTCCCCAATTTATCCAAGAGGAATCTGGGTCTACGACATACAAGTCAGATTCGAGTCGCCAGCTCCGGACCAAATTAGTCCAGTCAGAACCTAGAAAATTTTAAACACAGCCGGAAATTGGTAGCTGCTCAATAAGTAACAGGGAAACGATATCAATCCCGAGGGGTCAGAACAACTAGAATATCCCAAAAATATGCACAAGCAGCGTTTGCCCTTCAACGGGGGCCCAGGAGGTTTTGGAGCCAGTGCCTTCAACTTCAATGCCCCGCAGTTCGGCGATGGCGGTGGGTTTGGACACGGACCAGTGCCCGAGGGCCTCAATGGGATGCCGTTCCTGGGCAAATCGTCCACCAAACCGCTGATGCGTTCAATTAGCCGCCAGCGCTTGATGGTCGAAGGAGTTGGACTGGATTCTCTGCCACCACCACTTCCTGCTATGGCCCAGCGCATTCTAAGTGGCGGAGTAGGACCCGGTCAACGAATGGGATTGCCCCACATCCCTAACTATTACGGTTCCTACGAAGGCGACCATTCAGCGTCTTCGATGTCCGTGCTGGAGGACACCACCCCACCAGACTTCATGAAGCAGACTCCTAGGCGGGGGGATGGGCCATCTCGTTCAGGAGGACACTCGGCCTTTTCGGACACGGACTCTGAGAGCGATCTGCGCAGTCAGCAGAAGGGTACAGGTTTGACAGAGTCCCGCTGGAACCGCGCCTTTGGATGCTTGATGGATGCTCTCCCGGAGCAGAAGCGAAAGCGCGTGAGGGAGACGCTGCAGCGCTGTGGACAGACCGCTATTGCCAAGCACCTGCAGGTGTTGCTGCAACTGCTGGCCCTGGTAATGGCTGTGAGTTTCTGTCAAATCCAGCGCGCCGTCAAGTTCTGCGGCGGCGTGCACTTCCGCGTAGGACGTGCCAAATTCCAGTTGCGCAGCTCCCTTCGCAAAATGCTGTGGCGCCTGGCCAATGCCAAAGCCAATGACACCTTGCTCTTTCTCATCGTGGTTCTGGTGACGCCCTGGCTATTCCTCTTCAGCCTTGTGGGCTTCGCCTTGTCATTCATGTTCTCCATAAGAACGGGGTTGACGGAGGGCATGCGGCAGATGCGCCGGCGTGTGTTTTAGGCCAACCATTAGTGGACCAAAAAAGGGAGAGAAACTGCACCCAGAATCCTCTTTCTCTACTTTATTAACACATCACACAAGGACACTTGAGCAGCGCATTCCACACAACAAAAGAAGACAAACTACTGGAAACCAACTGGAATTCAACTATATTTTGTGTTGCAGCAACAAAATAGAGTTCAAAAATGTATGATGTGTGTTTTTGCAGGGATCCAGGATAGGGGTAGGGTAGCAATATTCCTTTTTTATTTATGACATGCCAACCGCAGATGTCTAATTTATATTTTTAAATATTCATAACCACTATTTGTATCACATTGCATCATTGCTTAAAATGTCTGCTTAACTCAAGGGTGCAATCTGTTTAAAGGTGTTGCTTGTTTACTGAACTGATCAATAAATCGAAAATACATTTATTTGTTTACTATTTAATCCGCTTACTGGCCACTTGCTCATCACCCATCCATCCAATTTATTATGTATATTATTTTTGCAATTTATTCTGCATGATAAATATGGGCATAAACAAATCAAAACGAAAACATTTCCGCTGCTCATGGGGCAGTACCACAGATTGTAAGCCTTTGTTGGTCATGTATATTGCGATTTCACTTTCAATTGCATCCCGCCAGCAAAGAGCCCCATTTTCCCAGCATTTTAGTTAATTTTCTGATTCACTTACTACAGAAAGCGATTAATGACTGGGAAGACTTTTCCGAAGGGAATCCCCTCCTCCAGTTACGATTGAGTGCCCCAGGGCCTACTTTCAAACTATTCAGGGGCTGCCTATGGGATGGATATCTCAGATTTCATTCAAACTTGGGGTAATGGATATTGAGAACTTGACATAAATTATGTCACGTCTACGTGTGAACTGGGCCAAGTATTGCCCGGACAGCGTTTACAATTACCAATGATCCATCGAGAATGGGTTGCATAAACGTGGATCGGTATCAGTAAGCTGACCCAGGCCGAACCACCAACATTTCAATCTACAACAGTTTTCAGGAAATGAAGATCCACTTTTAATATCAAGCATTAGGGTTACATTCGTATATTATATATATATCACCGACAAAAGCGAGCTGTTTCTTTCACCAGCCGGTCATTACGAACTGACATGAAGCATGGGCCAGCTATGTCTGTATAGTTAGAAAATACCTACAATTAGAGCGGGGATTGTCGTGATCCACAATCTGTGTTTATATGGGAAATATAATTGCTGGTTGGCTTCTATCCAGCGTGAAATCTGATTCACTTAATCGGCACACGGCAGGTGCCCTCTTTAACTCATCACTTTTCCTGTATTACTTCAGGACAAAAGTGGTCATTGTCAAGGTTGCCATTAGCCAGAAATCGCGTGATGAGCTAAAAAGTAATCAAGTAACGCGGCAACGAAAACGCCTTATTGAAAATTCAGGATTTGAGATGTTAAAATTAAAGGAAATTCATCGCTTTTATCAGAAGAAAAAAGGATTCAAAGGTTTATATTTCAAAGAAAAATTATTATCTTATCCTGAAACACTTTAAAAATACACTCAAAAATATAATGAAGGCAGAGATAAACACTGGCAACCCCTAGACGCCGCTCACAAGATTACGATAGATAAGGACAGGCGATAAGAATAGCACAGACCCTTCTCCTCTATCTGGAAAGCGATTCGGTTCACTGATATTTGTACTTTTGTAGGTGACTAATTCAGACTCACTATAAATAAACAAATCCACCGAACGGAAGATGCGTAAACCGGTCATGGACAAAGACTAATAGAATAATATCAAATCATTCTGTAAATAAATAAAATCCACGATGGGTAGCGAAAACGTGCGAAGCGGATTAAATTTAAGTCGTTTGGTTTAGTTTGGAAAATTACATTTAGGGATGAGCTGAAGAATGGGTTTAAATGTAAAGCGGATTGGGATTTGGTTTATAAAGATAATGTAAAAGGAGATAACATTAATTGGGTTATCTTGGGTTATATTCGATCTTATAAGCCTCTGACAGCACTTATCTAGATGGCAAGTCTGTCATAAAATGGGTAACCTTTAATCTAGGGACCACCAGTTGAGAATTATATTAACACATCACCATCAAATTTTATTTTCTCACTTAAGGATCAAATTAGCTTCCGCTAAATCATATTAAAATGCGAAAAGCATTCTTATTATGTGAACTTCCACGAGACAACGAGTTTACATTCGCAATTTACTTATTTGTTTACATTGCTGATTGCTGTTTTAATGATCTAAATGAAAATGTCGTGGATGAGTCACTCAAAGCTAAACAAAGCTAGACTATAGTCTATAAACTATTATGAATCTTTTAGCTGTATAATAAACGAGTGTGCGAGATTTTCAATGGAAAACGTGTCCGGCACAGTTAATTTTATCGAGTATCGAATCCATTCACAATTCGTAAACTTTGTACAAGCAGCATCTGGCTTGGCTGAGTCACTTTGATTTCATTCACGAGCAGCTTGTTTAAGGTTTGGTTCCTGGTCATAGCAGAGGGTCAATCATCTCCTAAAACTGAAGGTTTTTATTTCCGCCCTTGCCCAACAGACGAGTAATTGTGGCGAACCTTATGTTTGCTCGCACTGGCTCCCTTATCTGCAGACTTCGTTGCACCAACCCAATGAAAGATATCGTTTGCAGTTCTTAATCGAGCAGTAAGGGCCGCCGCATATCAACTAGTGTCTATAAACAGTAAGCACCTGTATTACAATCTTGGCAAATAAGCTTAAATCTATTTCCGCTGACAGTCTGTCTACGTGTCTTTTTGCCTTTAAGTGTTTCAAACATATAGGTACTCATATATGACTAATGCCTTGAGTTCTGATGGAGGAAAATTAAGGAAATTACATTCAAGTGGATCGTGCAAACGCAAAAGCTGCGTAATACATTTTCGGACTGAAGAAAGAGCTTTGTTGAACAGAAATCAAAGAGAATCTTCTCTTCCAGACATTTTTAAAGACTAGGAGATTTCGATTGCTATTTAGAAAGTACCTTCAAAATAGTTCTAATCCACTTGAGAGGTATGCCTTTTCGAAATTAGAACCAAAAAATAAGTATCACAAATTTTTTATAGGAAATATAAAATACAGAATTTCATACTAATAACTGTAAGGCCCATTCTCAAAACATCTGGATTCATATTCCTATAATCTTGTGTGGGAGGAGGAAGACGAACCAGATAATTTTCCGACTCCGCTTTACTGCGCACTTGATATAAACTTAACAAAGATGTCTCTTCCCGCTCCATATAAATAGAGCTGTTCGCTTGAGCTGTACTTTGGATAGCGAAATCAAAGTCGAATTTACTGAAACATCTCCTATGACCGCAACGCATAAGTTTTACACCCAGTTGGCAATTTAACGCCTTGACGTGCTGATAAAACACATTTGAAATAAACAATTGTTAAAACAATAAACGTTTTGAATGCCAAGGAATTCGTTTCGTACGAAAACCAAATGTTCTGGGCATCGAACGTGAGTGGAAGCCATTATTAAAGAAATTGTGCTTTATTCGTTATAATGAATTCTGGGGTCCCTAAACTTGCAATGCGTTTTTTGTTTTTAATTTTGACTTGGGATAATGTAATGTTAGAACAATCAAGTCAACCAGTGAATAGCTTAATATGGTATACTAATTATTCTTGATTAAATCAAGAAGGCAGTTAAATTTTTGCTGCGACAAACAATTATATATGTATAGGCCCATAAATTCGTTGCCACGTCAGCCACACTGACAGTAATTTCACCTGTTTAGCAGTTTTCGTACTTATTTTACACCTTCATTTCTGTATTGGCCAATTAGCAGGTGAAGCTCCGATTTCTCCCCGAATTCGGATAAAGCTAGAAGCTTCTTAGAAGAACTTAAGCGGCACAGCCGTATTTCAGCTGAAACTCAAGAGAACGAGAGTATATTATTCTACTGGAAAGGCACCCACACCTTGTAGAGCAGACAGACGGCGAAGAATTTTGCATAATCGCCATTAACTGAAACTGCACTTGCAACAATACGGAGAAAGCAAAAGAATGTTGGATAATGCAACCCGAGAGAAAATTAAAAAACAGAAAGCAGAGAACTGTTGTAATCATAATGGAACAACGACAAACAGCGAAAATTCTAGTTGATGGGTTTTTCTTTGACGGTTGTCATTAAAGTGTAGGACTAGAATCGCACTAGGCTTTCATCCCAGCCACTCCCTAGCACTCCTCCCAGCATTATTAATAAGGCTGAGTAATTATGGTGACAACAAAGTCGGGCTTTGTAAGGAATCTGAACAGACATTTACACATGCTTATATGCACATACATATATAGTATCTAAAGATATGAGGATAAGGAGAGCGCACCTCTTTCTGCCGTTTCAGCACTTCATTTTGCAAGGGCTTGTGGGTTTTTTCGCTGTGCACTGCAATTTCGAGCTCAGGTCCTAAGCAGGCGACATCGTTCGCCAAATCACGTATGATAATAATAATCAAGTTCCATTGCCAGTGTCAGAATTATTAAGCTACAAAACGCTGAAATAAGGAAAACGTGTGAAAAATTCTTTACATAAACCAAAGAATTCTAAATTTCCAAAATGTTTTTAAAGTGTTATATTTCGTTTGACATTCAAATTCATTGAATTTAATTTTTTTCTTTTAAATCTAGTCCCTATAAATTGAATTTTAGCATGTAACAAGATTTTCAATTTGTGTAAAATCAATTTCCATTACCCATATGATCACCATTATGTATTCAATGCGTAAAACTTGGGATTCCCCACTTTGTAAATATAAAAGAAAGCAAAACGGCTGATACGACAATCAGTACTGATAAACAGAAACCACATGAATACACAGGAAGAAAATAACTAAACTAAAAAGGGCAACATTAAATATATAAGTAAATATGTAAATATGCAAATCTACTGAGTTTTTGGGTTTCTATATATGTATTATAGAATATTTTCACAACAATGAAAAGAAAACCACTGAAGACGAGGAAAACATTTTAAAAACCCATATGTCATTTCATAAATTCTAATTTTAAAGATGCTTTTTGTCGTTTAATAGATGTATGACTGTATTTCGTTTTGAATCTCAACAGGGAGGAGAAGAAGCTGTGCGCGTTAGTTGGGTTTTTTTTGTGTGTGTGTATGCAGGCACTGTTTTCATTTGATCTGTCTATGTATTTTTTTGTTGGTCCGACAGCTGGAAGCTTCCGCAGCAATCTGGAAACTGGAAAGAATCCATAAGATGCGGGTTGTCGGGCGGAGAGGATAGAGAACGGAGCGATGAAAGGGAATTTAGCCAATTTACTGCGATTGCTATTCATGACAGACATAAAGATATAAATAAGAAGAAGAACGCGCAAAACCAAAAGCAAAAGAAAGGCCATTAAATTGTGCGAAAGAGAAACCAAAACAGGTTTAACTGTTCTTGGTGTGCTGTGCACAATAGCGCTAATTGATACTTACACAAGTGCAGGCGGGCCATAAACAAAACACTCGTGAGAAAGAGGGTTAGGGAGAAAGGAAAGTAAGCAGACAAAGCTAACTGGAACTTTCGTAAAGTCCACCAGGAAAATGACACATTTAGCACAAGACTTAATTTTAACACAATAACAATGACTAAAGCCTTTTAAAGCTAATGTGCCATGATTTGACTCAAAATCTCACCTTGGTAATATATAAGTACCGTGTAAACTGGTTACGTTCTCACTCAAAACAAACGCCGAAGAATGCACTCAAAATCGAATTCCACTCAATTTACACGTTGACGAAATTTTGAACGTCGCCTTTCAAGGGGATTTGTATTTTTAAATGCTTACAACACCGTGCATATAAAGCAATAAATATATCTGCGTATTGTTTTGACTTTCTCACCATCCACAAAAACTCGTTTTAGTTTCGCTTCTCTCTTTATTTTGGCACACTATTTGCAAATTTTAGCTGATTTAGCAATTTATGTGTAATCCCATTGAATTAAAACAATTATTTTCCGTGCGCTCAATCCTAAAACGTTGAAACCAACAAAGACGACGCACAACAACGCAATTCTTTAATGCAATTTAATTATTTTTGCTGCTCAATTGGAACTCGTTTTTGCAAGCACCGCATATTCTATTTACTTTAATTTATTTGTATGCGCACACAACCGCACGACCCGCAGGTTTTTATTATTTTATTTATTTAATTTATTTACTTTAAATCGAGCAAAGCGCTGCAACGCAACCGTTTTCCGTGCACTCGCCGGTATGACCGTTTCGGGATCATTGAAATATCCATGAGTGTGACCACTGTGTAACAATAACTATAACAGATTTAAAATAGACTAATGGTTTCTAACAGAAATGTTAAGATACAGAGCCTTTTTAACAGCGGTTTTAAAAGACGAGATTTTTAGAGAGACCAGCCAGGAAACGGAAATGTACAACGACTTTTTGAATAATTTTAATTTAAAATAAAGGAAACTTTTCAGAGTTCATAACAATATATATTCTTTAACATTTTTTTTTTAGCAATTTTCAATAAGTGGTAATTGCCAAAACCTATATGCCAAAAAGTTTAAACTTATATGTTTAAAATATTTAATAAAATATTTATTGATATTATAAAGATTCTACACTTTTAGATTTCTACTGTCATTGATACAATTAAACTGTGGCACAGTGGACATGTGCGGTGCCGTGAGATCTCTGTGGGAGCAGCACAGTGGTGGCAAGTGGTGCAGATCCATATATTGTTAGTGGGCTGGGTGATGGGTTTTCCGGATGAAATGCAAGCCGGAAAACGTGCATTGCACTCCGGGCAGGAGGGTGAGCTAAAAAAAAGGAATAGTTCATAAGTTTAAATGAGTTTTAATGATTGCTGCTCCACTAACCTGTCTGGCACTGCCACTCCACAGGAATAGCAATCAACCCTTTCACCAACGGTATCCTCCGGATCGTACTTTGCGAAGATGCCTCCTGCCAGTTCTTCATATCTCTGAAGAGTTGCCTCCGGCAAGTGTCCCAGTTGCTCCAGTTTCATAAAGGCCTTTGAGCAGGTGCCAAATGCCCGATCAGCACAGCTGGCCAGGGCCAACAAGCTGTAAATGTGCTCAGGAGGCAGAACATCCTCGTAGTCTCGTAGCCTTACCGCTGTAACCACCGCACTGTGGATGATCCCAAAGCGCAGCTGCCTCTGGGCTAGGAGCATAAAGTGGTAGGCCTCAGAACAGTGCCATAGTCTTTCGATAGCGGCCGCATCTTCTAGGGCAATCGAGTCCAGTAGCGTGTTCCTTCCGCTTGCATAATCGATCTCTGGCGTGGCCACCGCTTTAAGGTACTCCTCCGCCAGCAGAGCAGCCAGAACGTAGAGTTTCTTGACCCTCAAAAGCGGAGCCCTCTTCTCTTGCTCCCTCTCGGCCATTTGGGAAAGTAACCGAGCTGCATCCAGGTGGCGGCCGGCATTTCGTTGCATCTCAATAGCCTCCTTGAGACGACCCTCTTGGAGCAACTGAGCTGCATGCTTGGCTATCAAGGTTTGAACTTGCGGCAGCTGGAATCTTTGGGCCAGTTCCACAGCTTCACCCCACTGTCGGAGATTCACGCACGTTGAGACCGCGGCCTTCTGGTCGCCGAAACGCAGATGAGCTTGAACTGCCTCGGAACACATACCAACGGAGGCCAGCATCTCGGCCAGCTTCGGGAGCAGAGGGCTCTTTTCTGGCAATCGTTCCACGCACTTTTCCAAATCGTCAAACTGCTCCAGGTGGTAGAGTGCTTCCATGTAGCCCTCCATATAGTGTGACTTCTCGTAATACTCCCTGGCACTCTCCCATGAACGCAAGTTGGCAAAGTGGTGGCCTATCTCCCTCCAGGCAATCTCCATCTGTTGGTCGGACACACCAGATCCTCCCATTCTGTATAATTGCACCACGCGGAACCAATCGCAGAGGGTCATGCGCAGCTCTATGGCAAGGTCTCGACGATCTGCATCCAAGTAGAGCTTCTCCGCCTCTTCAAACTCCCCGTAGAAGGCCGATATCTCCGCCCTCTGCAGCTCGTTTGAGTGGATGGTGCGCAACCTCTTGACCAACTTGATGCCCGGATAATGGGCACATCGCACGAAGGCGTTCTCCGCTGTTTCCAGTTCCAGTTTTTTCAAAGCAGACTCTGCCAACAGTCGCCATAGCCTAGGATGCGGGTTGTCCTCGATAAACTGCTTGGCATCCTCTAGTCCCACATGCTCCAAAAGATCGTCGGTATCCCGCAGGGACTTCACCCTTAGCTGTATTAGGTGTGATGAGTTCTGCAGCTCACCCACGCTAATTATGTCGTCCAGCAGTACACTGGTGATCTCCAAGTCTTCAAAGGTGCAGATGTAGCCGGAGCAGGAGACGGGTTCCTCGGGATCGTTGCCGCGGAAAATATACATTCGCGTCTTCTCCATCAGAGCTAAAAGCAGAGGATTGTCCTTGGCCCAACTCACGGCCCAAACATCCTTGCGCTCCACCCGACTGAAGTTGAGCTGGGTTTCCCTGTTGTCGTCCAGATCGAGCAGGGTCATAACACCCATGTGGTCGATGATAGCAGCACGTCTACGTTAGTGGGTATTATTATAAATATATCATGAAAAACCGTTATCTGACTCACGTGGAATTGCAGTTTATGGCCATCTTGTAGACCTTGGAGTTCATCAAGTGCCGGTTCCTCAGAGCCACATTCGCTATGCTGTACTCATTGATTGCTCCGGATTCCCTAGCCACAAGAAGCAACTTCTCAGAGAGGGCCAGTGCACAGATGGGATCATTGATTCCCCGCTGTGTGGAGTGACCATCGCCACTGCTGCTACTGAGCATCAGATCCTTGGCCATTTCGACTCCGGTAGGGGTGTCATCGATGTGGAAGCGCTTCTCCTTGCGCGCCTTCACATTGTGCAGAGTAGAAGCACTCTGTTGGAGGAAGATAATTGGTTAACCGAGAAGTGGATTTGTTACAGACAGTACCCACCTTTGGTGTGTGGTAATGCCAAATAAGGATTTCCTCCTGCGAAGCTATAGCCACATAGCAGGAGTTGATGCCCACAAAGCAGGGCCTAATGTCCGTGTACTTGGCTAAATACAAAATGTTATAACCAATGAAACCACTGACACGTTTTCTAATACTCACAATCCACAGTGGTTCCAATGGAGTTGCAGAGCAATAACTGGTAGACCCTGTCATCCGCCGGATTGCTGCGATTCTCCAGGGTACTCAGAGCAATCTCCTTGATGTTACTACTAACGCACTCCACTCCCAAGACGCAGTGCTCACTACTGGATGCCAGGCACAAAGTGGGCTCCACCTCCTTGAGAAAACTCTGATTGGAGACCGTGTTCCAGAAGGTGATAACATTCATGGGAGAGTCCCTTGAGCCACTTCCGCTGTTCAGAAACACCACGGTCTTTTCAAAGTAGCACCAAATGTAATCTGGCCGGATGTTGGCGAAGTAAATGAATGAGTCCACGGCCATGGCTATGCGTAGCGATTTTCCCTCCCAACTGAGCGACGTGATGTCGGTGCCCGGAACTTTTAGGGTGCGATACATCTTTCCCAGCGGCGAGTAAAAGCACACTTGGTTTGAGTCACGTTGCGAAGCTGGGGTAGCCACGTCCAGAGTGGTTCCACAGATGGCCAGGACAGTGCCGTCATGGTTCCACTTGGCGTCCACATTCCGCATCCCAGTGTCAAAAATTGTAGGAGCTATGAGTGAAAAGGGTAAATAAGTATTTTTTAGAGTCTATATCACCTCCTACCATCATCATTTTCATTCCTCATGATCTGCACCCTTCCGCTCTCATAGCAAATGGCCAACACCGGACGCTTGCGGCTTGGGGGAACTCTTCCACTGAACCAGCAAATATTGGCTATGCGATGTGCCTTAGAGGAAGATCCACCAACAAGGCTAACGCACTGGATATGTAGCTTCATCTGGATTTTAAAAAGAAAGTAATTAAGGAAGACTTACAAGGATGGGCGCCTTTTACTCACAGCAAAGTTCCCTTGATTGTCGTACAGATGACACTCTCCGTTTGCCAAAGCAAACAGGATCAGTCGATTATCCGGACTCCACTGGACACCAGTCAGATGAGTGCCCTTAAGCTCCTTGCCAAAGATCCGATTGCCATCAACAGAACCCACTATAATGGCCCCATCTTCGTAAACGATGCAGATTCGAGACCCATCCGAGGTCCAGCTCATGCTAGCCACTGTGGACTTCTTCCTGTCATTTGTCATCTCTTCGTACCAAGATCCCTTATACAGCATCCACACCATGATCACTCCGTCCGTGTCCGAAGAAGTCAGCTTCTGTTGGGCATCGTTCCATGTGACCACCCTCACCGACTCCTTGTGACCATCCAGCGTTTGGTTCATGGACAGATTGGAGACAGCGGCCAAGCCACCTTTACTTTGTCCATTGGGAGTAGCTGGTAGTAGTGTTTATTTTTCAATCCCAAACAGTTATTTTAACTGATATTGTGGACTTACCCTGATCCAATTTGAGGACCTTAAGTAATCCATCTGTGCCGGCCACTGCGATGTAGCCCTCCTCCTTGTTCCAGGCAATGCAGTTGAGCTTGACATTGTTGGGTATTGCAATCTTGAGGCGTAGACTTAATAAGTAAATATTTTTTTATGTAAAGGCAAAGCCTACCTTTTTGCTGAGATAAACAAACATCTTTGGGTTGCAACTGCACTGGTTTTTTCCTCTTAACTATTTTTCAGCATTTGCTTTGGCAACAAAACTAAATGGTTTCCATGGTGATCAAACTCCAGTTTACTGCTCAGCTGGCTTAAATCCGAAGCCTGTTTTGTGGCCATAAAGTGGTTGAATTGGTATTGGTGGCAACTGTGTGAGAGGAACCTGTTGCCGCTTTCTGCTATCGAAGCACCTGCTGTTATCGAAGGCGGATCATTTTAAGTTTCGATATTTATTATCTATCTATTTTTGTATTTGTCCAGGCATTTCGAAATAAGACAATAGTCATTTAATTTCAAGAATAATCTATGAAGGCCAGAAAATGAAATAAACTAAAGACTGTAATAACTGTCAACTGATATATTTTTAAAAGTTTGTAATCAGCGTTAGTATAAAGTTTCTTACAAAAAGGTTGTCACCACTTAAAATTTATGACTGCCCAATATGACAGTTAATCGATTAGAAAAAGTGGTAAGGTAGACAGACTTATCAGACAAATTAAATGAAATAAAGTCATAAAGATACTGAAAAACGTAATAAGCTGCAGCTCCTTCAGGAGATTAAATAAATTTCTATTACATAGGATAATTAATACATTCAAATGAAATTCATTTAGATCACAGGATGCCCAAAATGCTTTAGGCCAATCGAATTCCCCTTTTGAGCAATTCATGGGCGAGCTTGGTGGCCAGAAACATGTAGACCAGCAGGATGATCACTGATTCAAGATTGGAGCGATCTTCTGGCTTAAGGAATATGTTTACCCCACCGGTTAAGACATTGGCCAACAGGAAGAAAGTCAACCCATTTTGGTTCAAAGCTTGGTTGATGGTGAATGGAAAAATGGGCTTCGACCTTTCCTTGGGCACAGAATCTCCTGTCAGCAGACCTTTCTCCTGCTCACCCGATGAGCTCTGCTCCCAGGGCATCACACTGTTGATTACGAAGTCAATGGCTCCAAAACTGGCCCACAAAGTGGTGCATCCAATGGCCAGCATCCAGATGACATATCCCAAGTTGCAAGTCACGCGGGAGATTCCAATTCCGTAGGCACTGATGACGAACAAGCTCCACAGGATCAGCACCGCATAGAACAGACGCTTTAATTTTGTGACCAACTCGGAGTAGGTCAACAAAGTGGAGCTCACCATCCAGCCATTCACGTAGATAGACAGCAGGTACAGCGCCACGAATCCTGGCAAGGAGACAAGCCCCTCCCGATTTGCATTAAATAAATTTGAGCGTTCCAAGTCCTCGTTCATCACATAGTCGGAGATACCCAGGATACTAAGGCCAAACTGGTGAATCACCAACAGACCTAGAAGAGCAGTTTGTGGGTTAAAACATTCAGAGAAGCAATGGTCTTCATACCGAATCCTAAGGGCAGTAAATGTAGATCCTTGCGAGCCAGTATACCGACCAGAGCTCCTAAGAACTTGGTAAATCCTAGAGTGAAAAAGGCGTTTAGATGCTGCCCGTACTCGTGAGAATCCTGGCCATATCCGAGTGTCAAAATAGCTACGGTGCGAGCAAGTCCTAAAAGGATGAGCGGCAGGGCGGAGAAGACCACACTCCGGCGAAGATCCGATAGGTGCCGAGTCCTCCGCGACACCATGGCCATAGTGAAGACAAACAGCCCGATGCCGGTGTCCATTAGCTTAGCTCCAAACTGCCGGCTTTTCCGATAGGGTCTGTAGAAACTGCCAAAGTCTATGGCCAGAATGCAGACAGCGGTGATTAGGTGAGTCAGGGCTCGCAATACGGAGAAAGCCATGGGTCTTTGGCCACCCAAATCAAACTGACTGCGAGTTCGGGCCCGTTCCAGAACCCTACTCTTCCTCAGAAACCACAATGTCATCACAAACATCACCAGTCCTATGTAGTTACTGTAGTCCACGGCGACTGTCACGAGCAAAATGCACGGCAGGATGACCAGGCCGAACTCCACAGCAAAGCAGAGACTGGGGGAGCCATGGAGCCGCAGCTTTTGGGTTACCACGCGAGCTAGAAGAATACACCAGAAGGTGGACAGGATCAACAGCAACGACTCCTGGCTCTGGATCAGGGTTTCACTCCAGCTCCAGTCGTAGAGTTGGCCCATTCCCAAGTCCTCCTCGAGGGTTTGGTTGGCCGGATTCGGATTTCGTTCTGGAAAAAGGTCCGCTGTCGCTCGACTAGCCATGGCGACTGGCGGCGGGACACCCCTTGGACTTACTGATAAAACCCGCACTTAATCTGCCTGCTGATAGTCGCCACTTATCGGAAACCGTGAGAGAGGCATAGCCATAGCCGTTCGATTCGGGGCTCTAATAAAAAGCACAAAACTCTAAATACGGAATTCGTTAAACTTCAAACATTAGAATTTCGTTGATAGCTACTGAAGTATTTCGCAAATGGTTGGGTTATTGATAAGGAGCGCTACTCATTGATGTCCAAGAACGTTTTGAGTAGATGCGTCATAACTGCGGCTCTTCATGATCAAGGATAACCATTAGTTGATAACATTTCAACACCTTTCAACGCCCCACAAACATTTCTTATCTCGGATTTGTTTACTATATTTAACGATTTTCACACCTTGCTGTAATTAGCTTCTGATAAATTGAAATCTAATTTTGGTTTCACGGATTGATATGGTGTTAGGGTTTGGTGTGAGATAAATCAGCATGACCAATAACAGAGGAAAAAGTTGTGTTATTATAAATATTATATTTTATATATATATATATATCCAACGTAAATAACGAAACTCAGTTTTGTCTCTCTTGTTTAATCTTCAACTTTGCAGATCGCAAAAGTTTCTTACGCAGTAAAAGTGAGATCTTCGAGTTCGTAAGTAAAATATATAGATATTCTTGATTTGATTTCTGTTTATCGGTAAGAAGTTTCGTAACTTATTTTTTAGATAATTTCATATTTTAATTTAAATTTAGCGCTCCTCTCCGAATCGATTGAACACATTCGATAACTTCCAACCGACTGCAATGAAAATCCCCATATCTGGCAACTCTTTAGGTATTTTTTAGTGCTTTGGTTGTATTAAGAAAAAGAGGCTCGACTGCGGTTAAAGAAGATAATAAACCGCAGAACATGCCATAAAATGTTGTTTATCCTGCAAACAAAGTGCTCCGACATGTCGACGGATATCTAGTTTAATAGCCTTCGGCTAGCTCAACTTGAAACTAAGTTGCGGCAGTACAAATGTGGGTAAGTTTTTCGACTCCGCCGGCACGTGCTTTCCAGTTTTAATGGATTAATTACCCAATAAGTTGTTAATTAAGGCTAATTAATAAATGTGTGAGTTTAGAGATGAGCTAATTTGTTAATTACAGTCTGCATTTGGTGGTTAAGGTTAAGGTTCGGTGGTTTAAGTACCTATTACGTAGCTTTGTTGTGCTTTTGCAAGTTGTGACGTCATGGGGCGTTGGACCAATCGGAATGCAGCTTTCAAGGGGCTTGTCCACTCGTGACGTATGCAACAGCCGACGTTTAGTCGGAATATTGATTTTTGTTGATGCTTGCGCTGAGAAACCACGTGAGCTCGCCTCTGTTTCCACCCACTACACCACCTTTGATCAACTGAGAGGATAAACTCATTCAAACGCAAACTTTTGAGGCAGTGAGATCGAAATACGGAAGCAGAAATAAGCTCACTTTATTCTCTAAATATTGCTGCTGGCAAATGCAATTTTCATTTACGTAACTAATTGCCAGCGAGTGCTAAATAGTATTATAAATATAGGTGTGTCTGGGCGTAAGCAGGTGCACTAAAACCAAATAAGGTCACTCCTTACAAGGTCATAATCTAGAATCTAAACTTGAAAAATAAGAGTAAATATATCAAATCATTACAAAACCAAGGTGCAGTTTAAAGTGATTAAAAATATCAATATAAATTATTAAGTTGAGTTAATTTTTTAAAGTTGAAATATGAGAGCTATGCCCCGGTTTTTCCGTCTGTAAAAGCTCCGTCAACATCTTTCCGAGAAAAATTCAATAGATTATAGATGCAACTTGATTATTAAACATCTACTGGCGCCTATAAGCCCTGCTAGTCAAGTGATCTTTGCCCCTGCCTGACTGAAAATTTCATTAGATGTTCTCCAGCCTCCATCTTTCCCCCTTTGCACTGCAATTTCTGATCAGCTTATCAAAAACATTAGCACAACTTGAAATATAATGCAATCACCAAAAAAAAAACACGCCCTATCAACGGGCGACAAATATTTCTGCAATCGTTTTGAGTGAGAAATGTAGCCCAACGATACGATATGGCTGTGATAAGGCGCTATATATAGTCCACGGGTCGTATGCGTAATTTGATTTATGCATGTCGGTGCAAAAGTTTAGTGAACCTTTGAACCCCTGATGTAATCATTTATTGCGCTACTTGCATTCGGATTACACGATTTACAAAAGAGAACAACAAAGAGAAACATAAAGCGAAATGTAAATGACAAAATCGCACTTCCATTACTGATATTGTGACTGAAGTTTCAGAATAAAAAAATAATACGATATTTTACGATGACTTAAATGGGTTCTACTAGCACACACTCCCACATTGTGTACATATAAAACGATATATATGTAAACAAAAATTGCACATCAAGGAAATACAATTCATTATCATGATGGTCCATGGGCATGTCGACTTTTCAATACCCTTCAGTTGGGTATTGTATCCTAAGTCTCAATAGTTATGTTTTCACTTAAATTAAAGTGTTATTAAGCTTCACCTATATATTAAGAATAATTAATATGACAACCAAACAGCCTATTCAAACGGATGTACCCTAACTCGACCATTAATTCCCTACTTAAGGCCATCAAGTCGGGCCAAATTGCTTTCGTTTGTGGGCCAACACACATGCCACATGCATATGTATTCTCACACTGACATTTGGCTTTAACGAAGTCTCTTTAGTTGCTCAAAACGATTTAATTAACTTCGTTTCGTTGGTCTTCATAGATCGGTGTTTATATAACGAACACACTCCCCCTTTTCGCTAAATGGATGCAAATATTTAAATACAATCCCATTTGCATTTTGCTTCATATCGTTTGCTCTTGAAAATGTCTCACAAAAAGATGTGTTTTATTTGTTTGCCCCTCAATGGAATATTTTTAATATTTGTTGTATCTTTAAATAGCCATTCCTATAGGTATGAGCTGAATGAACGCCCACACGTGAGATTGCGTATGCGGATTGTCTTTGAAAAGCTGAAGAATTTATGTGTGGGACAAGTTCAGTGGAATAATTTCCGCCCCTGAAATGAGACATTATTACGTGTACATAATTGCAGGGAAATGGGGATAGCTACTAAGGCATTCCTATGTAAATCGCAGCTATAAAGATGCCCTAACAATCCCTAATCACATTCCATTTGAGGGATTTTACTATTATTGTGCGGTTCCCAAGTTATTTACAGTGGGTTAGGAGTTCGCTTCTATTGATCATCACCTATTCACATGTCAGATCTACGAGGTATTTTACGATTCATGTACCATTATCTTCTTCGAAATTTCTTGAGATTGGACGCAGACGATTTTGTAATTTTCCGCTGTTGATAGGGCAGTTTGAAAGTGGGACCTATTCGTGTTCTCGAAATATTTAAGTTTTTTAGCTCTATTTTAAGATTTATGGGTTGGAGCTTTTTTATGCTTTCTATCTCTTGATTTATTTGACATTTGGTCCATGAAAATATGTTCCTTTCCCTGGGAAAGTACAAATAGCAATTACCATTGTCGTATATCGTTATAGTAACTAAATACTTTTAAAATTTGTTCCGCTTACAACGGCAATTGACCCACTGTACTGGGCTATATCCGTCTGGTGCGAATGCAAATGCGTGTTTTTAAATGCCAAGGCTGCCGGCGTCTGTCGCAACCAGTTGGCAGTTTATTGCACCGAGAAGAGTTTCTATGGTAGCACCACCCCCACCAACCCATCCCAATCCACTCGACCCCCTAATCCACCCACCGACCCAGACATTGCCGCTCTTTGCCGGCTTGTCTTATCAGCGGGAGCGGGAACGATTGCTACTGCCAGTTTTTTTATTTGGTCTGGTCGATGGGTAGTCGGTAGTAAATTCGTAGAGCCCCCGATTTGCCTGGTCCGAGTAGCCTAGCTACACAGCCGATACATGGTCGAACTAAAAGCTCTTTCCGCGTACGAGTATTTTCACTGCGCTGCCGCGCCTTCGAAGCATTTGATTTTCGACTTTCAGATACATTTTGGCGCTCGCCGCGGTCGGTTGTGTTTTTTGATTCGTCGCGTTCTGTTTTTCTCTTTTCCGATCGACTACCCGCTCTTTCACTTTAAACTTTCCTTCGGCGCTCTCTTTTTGAAATTTAAAAACATTTAAACAAGTGTTATCAGCAGCAATAAACAACAATCGAATAGAAAAGTGAGGAAACAACTTTACAATGTCAAACAACCCATCAAATATCATTAAGTGCAGTTATGCTTGATTGTAGCTTGTAATCGCAGATATCGTAAATTATCCCTATTAATTCTTTGATAGCTTTTCCCATTTTATTCGAGTGTTCCTAGAGCAAGTGGGTAGGCAAATATTGGCCGATCAGCCCACTGAAAAAGTGCTTTCCATATCTAATCTACGATTTCTGGTAACATAACAGTTTATGGGTCGTGTATCGATAGTTGGTTATCAGAGAACAGTGCTTAAGGAAAGTACACAGCCATAAAAAACGCACATAAAGCTGTGGGGCCTCCCGCCTTTGAAAAGTGTCGCCCATAATCTAACCTCAATACCAGATGGATCCGGAAAGCGAGGAAACTGTGGAAAGTTTTCGAATGTAAATCTCAATCAGCTTACCGGTGAAAAATATTAAAAAAAAAAAAACGTATATATAGTCTGACCAATCACTCAGTGCACTCTGTCATTTAAGTCTTATCTCGATCTGGAACACTTGACCTTGTCGCAGGGACCGCAATCACGGCATTAGTTTACCATAATTTATGTATTTCGTTTTTTGAGCTCTATTCAGAGAGGCAGAGCACCGAATCCAAGCGATAAGTTGTTGGTGTCAACAAGTGTATCTGTGTGAGAGTGGGAAGAGGGCTCGACCATTAGATTCGGAATGGGAATCCAGCCCCCCTATGAGCCAAGCGGGTACAAAGTCAAACAATGGCCAAACAACAGCTCGACTACAATGTACTCGTGTGTATACACAAGTCCATTTCAGATCATATCGCTCAACATGTCCGCAATGTCCATGTCCCCATGGAAGTGTGAATCGCAAATATATACTTATTCGGGTGTTAAATATATAGCAGGGAGTGGGAATATGGCATATCTGATCCAATGATTGCTCCGCACAGCCTTTCAACTTTATCTTGGATCGTTATCGTGAAATGATTTTATGGTTGTTTTATTTGAAATATTGGTAGACCTCTAAATGGGGGTATTTCAAAATAGGGAAAAGTGTAATAAACAGCAAAAATAATATGATAAATAATTCAAATGAGATTCTCATAAAAAGTAATAAAATGTTTATGGGGGTTATCAAACACCCCTTCACAGCTTTTTATAATCCTTAAATAATATGAACATAACTTGCTATAAATTAAATTTATTAAACAAATATATGTTAAGCACTCCCGTGGAACATTTGTTTTTTGTTTTTGTTTACAAACTATTTAAATTGATATTTACAACTCATTATGCAATCATTTTAAACCACTTGACTGGCTTATCTAATCGGTTTGCTATCTCGTAGGCAGCATGACCGAAGGCAAGAACTTACCCCACTCCAGTGCGGATGTTCCGTTCCGCAGCAAGGAACTGCGCAAGCAGTCGCTGATCCAGCACACCGGGCTGGTCGGAGTCATCGATGAGGGAACCAAGACTATCGGCTTCTCCATCTACACCACGCCTGATTTCAAGGAGATCGCAGCATACCGGGTGGAGTTAAGCGTGATCACTCCCCAAGATGGATGGTACGAGCAGGATCCACTGGAGATGATGGCCTCGATCAACAAATGCGCCGAGGAGGCCATTAAGCAGCTGCCTGAGCAAGGCTTCTCCGCCAGTGACATCGCCACTGTGGGAATTACCAACCAGCGTGAGACGACTATTGTCTGGGATGCGGTTACCGGCAAGCCTCTGTACAATGCACTGCTGTGGAAGGACATCCGCACCAGCACTACAGTAGAGCAGATTGTAGCCAAAGTGCAGGACCCAAACCACTTCCGCAGCAGCACTGGATTGCCCATATCCACGTACTTCTCGGCACTGAAGATCCGCTGGCTTAGGGACAATGTTCCGGAGGTGCGAAGAGCCATTAGGGAGAGGCGTTGCAAGGCGGGCACCGTCGATAGTTGGATTGTGTGGAATTTGACAAACGGTTAGTAAAAAAAGAAGATTAGGAATACGAACTTATATTCTTCTTATTCATCTTTTTACCTAACTTTGATTTTCCTGTCCCTCCTCAGGTGCTCTCCACATCACGGACGTCACGAATGCATCACGTACTCTGCTTATGAATCTAGAGACCCAGAACTGGGATCCTGTGCTGCTCAAAACCTTCGGCATAAAGGAGGACATGCTGCCAACCATCCACAGTTGCTCAGAGGTCTTTGGCAAGATCACCTCGGAGCGAAGCCCACTGCGTGGAATGACTCTAAGTGGTATCATGGGCAACCAGCAGGCCTCGCTTTTGGGTCAGATGTGCGTAAAGCCAGGGCAGACTAAGAACACTTATCGCTCCGGCTGCTTCCTTCTCTGCAACACAGGAGACAAGCCAGTCTTCTCAAGGCATGGACTACTTACCACTGTGGCCTACAAGCTGGGTCCTCAAGCACCGACGATCTACGCCATCGAGGGAGCTGTTTCGGTGGCTGGGCACGCGCTCTCCTGGCTACAGACCAAAGTGCGTATCCTGCCGGATTCCAGAGATGCTGAGAAGTATGCCGAAGCGGTGCCCACTTCGGGGGATGTATACTTTGTGCCCGCCTTCACTGGATTATATGCTCCCTACTGGAAGCAAAATGCTCGTGGTATTATCATTGGACTGACACAGTTCACCCGTAAGAATCACATAGTGAGGGCTGCACTGGAGAGCATCTGCTTCCAGACCCGCGATATACTCGAGTGCATGCATCAGGAGTGCGGCTACGAGATCAATAAACTCCATGCTGATGGTAAGCTGACCACGAACAGCCTGCTGATGCAGCTCCAAGCGGACACCATTGGACTGCCTGTCTTCCGTTCACAGCTGATGGACTCGACTGCCTTTGGCGCTGCCATGTGTGCCGCCCAAGCAGAGGGAGTGAATCTCTGTCAGTTCGAGCCCGAGAAGCGCTACTACGAGAACGTGCACTATGACACCTTCCTGGCTACTACCACGGATGTGGAGCGCAAGGAACGATACGGCAAATGGAAACGGGCAGTGGAGCGCAGTTTGGGATGGGTCATCAAGCAAAAAAAGACGCGAGAGCATACGGAGGAGAACTACCGTATGTTGTCTTCGCTGCCAGCGAGCATCTTCCTCATCAGCAGCTTTGCAATGCTTGTGCATTCACTCGCCGCAAGTGGTCAGTAAAGTTGGCTTCTGGCCGGAAGGATGGCTGCCTGACATACGGATCGATTCTCGGTTGTGATAATAATTATTTGTCCGGATTTTTTTTGGATCTTACACACTGTACATAGTCCCCAAAGGACAATGGGTGGTTGAACGTGCTTTAAACCTTGTAAATATTTGCTTATAAAGAGCTAGCCAAAACCAAGAAGGTCTCTAGACTAAGCTCCAACTTATTTTAAGTATCTTACCGCGTTTTCGTTGCATATACTGTACGTCTTAGCCGTAGCTCCATTGACGAAGGCTGGATGTCCGCGCTCCACGCACGGCCATATCAGCGGAATTGTATATAGCCAAAGTGCAAACGACTTTTCTAATTTAAGTAGGTTCCGTACTTTATGTGTATGTATGTGTAGTGATTACGCCCCTTAAACAATAAACACAAATAATACGATTTGAATTCTTGACGTCTTATTGCGATTTAACAGGAATTTCAGTGCAATGTTTGCCCTATCTCTGATTAACCCGGCACTTATTGGTGTGATAAAGCGGTGACGAGGTGGTTAGAAGATCGGAAGATGGAAAAATCTAGAAGAAAAAGAGGGTTGGGCTAATTAATGATACTTTGTAAGTCACCCAGAGTATGTAAATGATCTTGAAGAACACTTCAAGCTATCAAAAAACAACTCACGAACATAAAGTAATTGTCAGCTATTGGGTTATAATTTATAAGACACATACCATTTATGGCACTACCTAGAATATCCGTACGGACAATCTTTCGCAAGGTGGGGTACGTTCTGGTATCAGGTGCGTTATCAGGCAGCAGCGGAAATGTCAGGTATCAGTTAAATATGACTAAAGTAATCGATTGATTAATAGCTGGTGGGTGTGTGCTTTGTTGGTTGAGAAGGTGGTCTTTAAATGTTTTTAGCACTTGGGTGTGTCCGGGAGAGATTAAGTTACTAAAATAGGTGGATTTGACGGACTAATTAAGTCGTCTTTACTGCTGATTGTGAAACTAAAACTCTTTCAGATACTGTCTTTGATAAAAAGTCATTAAATCCATATATACCATAAAAATTTAAAGGGATTTATCAAACAAAAATTTTAAGTTTTTCAGTTTTGGTTTTAGGTATTTTAGATAGCAAGAGATAGACTGGGGGTCACCACTTACCATATACTGTTATATCGGTTCTGGTTCTGTTAAACAAAAGTCTGCTCAATTGAATATCGAAATGGACACCCACTGTGCGGCACTGATTTAAGGGTCAATCTCAGGAAAAACCCTGAAAAGGGTTAAATAGAGGTGGTTAATGGACAGGAAAATTCAAAAACCACTGATTATAACAGACAATTCAAAGCCCAGCCGAGTTAGCCAATATCCACTGTACTTCTTTTGACTGGGATCTCATTTAAATTGGATCTACCGATTACCCCAGCACAAACACTCACTCGTAAAAATGGGTTCTCACACAGATTCTGGCGTGCAGGCAGCCTGCACCAACAAGTGGTGGTGATATCCAGGTAGTCGCTCAGCAGGCAAGAAGTAAAGGTAAGGGCAACGAAAACAAATGCTCACCTTTGGCAACAACAAAGAAATTGATTTTCCCTGTTCGTCTTTAAAGATTTTTCTGAATCAGTGCAGCAAAAACAACAACTAGAACCGGAATCCGTTTGAAGTTGGAGCGCGCGCAACACACACTCAAGCAGGTAACAACTTCGGAGTGGAGTTGTAGTTCGTTCGAGTGTGTGGGTGTCTGTTGCACGGCGCTTCGAACTCATACACTCAGAAAAATAATGTCAAAGCATTAAGGTACTTTACTAAAAATGTATGAAAATATTATGATTGATCTTGTTACTAACTTACTTAAATTCAAAAATAACTTATTTTCTACAAACATTTAATTTCAAAGAAATATAAACATTTCCGTTTCTTGGTCTGTCATTATTTCATTATTTATTTTTATTGATCCAACATTATTGTCCAGTGTAAGTTCGATCTTGAAGTTCGAAAAGATCTGAGTGCGATCAAAGACGAGAATCGCCTCTCAGTTGCGTTTGAGTTGCGAGCGCGGTTTGTCGCTTGATCTCCACTCTCTTCGAATCTTCGAATCCGCGGCGGCGTCTTTTGTTTTCCGTGTGGCTGTGGTGCCTTGTTTATGTTAATCCGATATTTGTATTTATATATACAGGCGAAATATTGCAGAATTAGCAATAAATTCGGCCAATTTATCGGACTTCGGTTTTAGAAGCGTGAGACCCGCGAGCTGAAAGCAGTGGAAAAATGAGTGTGCAGCATAAGTGATCGCTGGAAGTGGAAGTTAAAGGGTCAAACCGGTTTTCGGACAACATGGAGTTGCCACCAGCAGTAGCAGCAACAACAAATGCGTCGGCATCCTTGCAACGTGTCGCCTCGGAATCCAGTCTTGGTCGGGAACGGGAACGACAGCAGGAACAGGCAGCTGCTCCGCCTGGCCAACTGATGGGCCACCACTATCATTACATACAATATCCGGCGCATTTCCAGCCGCAGCAGTTGCAAGAGCAACAACCCCAGCCACAACTGCCCTGCCAATGCCCCTGCTCCTGTGGCCGGGCGCCTCCTCCGCCACAGCCCACCAATCCCAGCCAGAATGGTTCGATGGCCGTAGCTGTTCTGGTTCATCAACAGACTCCCAGTCAGCAGGAGCCGGTGAAGAACTCCCCCCTGAAAACCCAGTCAGCCCAGTCCCTGCTAAATCACTCTTACCAGGCTCTCCACGAGGAGCAGCATCAGCAACAGGAGCAACTCCAACTCGACTCTTCAGCCGGCGCCGGGAGCTGTGATTGTGATCTGGAATGCACCTGCCCAGCAACCGGGGGAAACTCTTCCTTGGCCCAGCACAAGAGAAGTCTGCTGGCAGACGCCATGCTAGGAGCCGACGAGATTACGGTCAGTGAGTCTGACAACAACAGCACCATGATAAAAAAAAAGAAACCGCGATCAGGCGGAGGGGGTCAGCTTCCCCCGAAGACTCAGCCCACGGGTTCCAGTTGCAACGATATCTACCACGATACTGAACTGGATGGTGCTGGTGGAGCAGTGGCAGGAGAACCTGGTTCGCGTATCAAGTCCCAGATTCTGGACGATAATCGCCCACCGCTACCGCCACGTCCTCCACCCAGACCAAGAAGTAATGCAAACGGTTCTATAGGTGAGTGTTTTTATGTTCTTTCTTGAAAGGAATTCCTTTTTACAAATAAATTATATTAAGAATAGGAGTTCTAGGATTTGGTATATAAATTTATACATTTATGTAAGTTCATCTTTCATAAATGTTCTATGGGCTAATTATCGTGTTTGAGTTCCAAAAGTATTGCAAAACAAATATTCCACTGAATTGTTGGCTAATAGCAACGATATTTGTTATATATTTCTTCAGAATTTTGTACGTTAAATAGTTTTCCTAACGTTAAATCAAACAAACATATATGACATATTAACAAAGTTCTCTATAAGGGTATTGCAATCTTCGTTCCTGGTATTAGTGGTGATTTTCCATTAGTGATGTCGCTTACCCTCCCCCACTCAATGAATCACGGTTTCGCCTGGTCACAAATTTCGAGTCACTGATTTGGCGCCCGTTGCGAACACAGCTTCCGCTTTGTCGTTGCTTCCTCGTCCCCATCTCCTGCGCTTGCGCCGGAGGACGCCACTCTCTTTGGTCTCTCTATTTCTCCTGGAGCTGGTGCAAAATATTTGCTCGGGGGGTTGGCGCTGTGCTAGTGTCAGTCAGGATTTCAGTTGACACCGTTCCTGTAATTGCAACGCACACTCTGGCGCCACCTCTATCTCCGCCATCCAAGTGCCCCACTCCAGCCGCCTAAGTCCGCGCAGCTGCCTGCGGAGGCAGCTCATCCCATCTCCAGCCCCACATCTCTGCCAGCTTCCACCGCTGTGTAGATATTTTTCTGTTTCGCTGCGGAGAAAAAAGAAGAAAGAGTGAAAAACGAGGAAAACGTGTTCCGGAATTTCCAGCGATTCACCAGCTCCTGGGCAGGATGTGTTTTTAAATGATAGACCAGCCTATTGTTGGCCTTTTTTAACTGCCTGAGGAAGCCATAACTATTCGTTTATCCGGTCACCATGCACGGCTATCCGGTTATGCAGTTCGTGCAGTACAGCATGCCCCCGCCCTGCTCCTGGGTGCCAGCTCCTCCGCCCTCCTCAGGGAATGTGGATGGCCATCATCGCGGCTCCGGTTGGGACTGGAATCTGCCCTATAATACCTCAAACCTAATGGTTTTTTCCATTTTGTATTTTCAGCCCATCGCCATGGAGCTGGGATAAAGAAGTACGTGGTCTGGTGCCTTATATGCGGCGGTTTCAGTTGCCTGCTGGGTGTTCTCTTCCTGGGCGTCTACTTCCTGCTCCATTCGTACACCATCACGGTGGGAAACTTCGAAACAGTGCCCACTTTTGTACCCGCCACTCTGCTCATCCTTACGGGGATCTGCATTATGAGCCTGGCCAGACGTCGAAATCGCTATAGTTATCTGGTAAGGAAGTATTTGGTTGCAACCTCTATAAGCCTTTATTAATCCGACAATAATTCCCTCCAGATTAAGCTATCTGGAGCCTGTGGCCTGGTTTCCGCCTTAACCTGCGCATTAGTCACTGTGACCACCACTGTGCTCCATATGAGTCGTCTGCAGGCTTTGAGGGAATGCGAGTATGCGCAAAAGACGAGGACTTGCACCTGCTACTCGGACCTAATCGAGTCCCAGGTGGATCGAGTGGATAAGGGTAAGTTGTCCATCATAAGCCAACCTTCTCGACTAATTCCTTGTCTTAATTCCCTTTCAGAAGGAGTGCGCCTCGTGTTCGACTCCCTCTCGGATTGCGGTGTCGTCCATGGATCGCTTTACTCTTGCCTGAGGGCCATCTTTGGGTTGTCTGTTGCCGGAGTCCTTATCGCCGTCTTCAGCTGCATGTTGGTGTACCAACTTCTCAGCCATGAACGGAAGAAAATGTATTGGGAGCAGCTAGAGCTACGCTGCAGATCCTTGTATGCCAGTCAAGCACCTCCGCCTGCCATGGGTCCCGGCCGGATGTTGAACTGCAGATGCTGCGAGCAGTGCCACGCTCACAGGCAACTGACACTGCCTTTACAGGCTACTGCCTATCCGTGGGATGAGGCCACAGTAGCCGCCGCAGCAGCAGCGGCTGGAGGAGGAGGCGGAGAGCAACGCTTTTGGGCCGCCCAGCCGCCGGGTAACTTCTACTCCCCGAATCCAGGAGGCGAGGATGCAGTTGGTGCCTGCCGGAGTGGAGAACGGGCAGGGGGAGCAGCCCGCAGCAGCAGTGGCTGGAGCTGGCCCTCGTGGCCCTGGCAACGAACTACTCCGGACACTGGTCGTCGATTTCGCCAAGCAGCTGCCAGTCCAGATTCACAGTACGGCTTTAGTTCATCCACAGCAGTGCAGGGCGATGGCAACCAGATGCTGATCGAGGAGCCCGTAGTGGCTGCCGCCTACAGTGGAATGCCACCACCCAATGCCTTGCCCTACGGAGTCTGGGGTCCTCCGCCGCCGTACAGCGATCCCAATAGTCCGGCCAGGCGTGGCTACTATCAGTATCTACAGCCTACAGCATGCTTGGTGGGAAATCCAGGCACTGTCGCCGTCACTCTAACCCAGGAGCAAATGCATCCGACCCTGCAACACCAGCATCCGCATCCTCAGCAGCAGCAGCAGCAGTTGCAACAACAGTTGCAGCTGCAACGGCTCCAGGTGCAATCAGCCACTTTGGAGCGGATGGATGGCCTTAGCAGCGCTGGTAATGTCAGTACCCTGGTGGCCGCCACTCGGTCTTCCGCCTACAAATCAAAGGCGGAGTATGAGAACACACCGTCAGACAGTGATGGAGGAAATCCCAGAGAGAGGGAACGCTGCTCCAATACCCTGCCCACGCGAAAACTTAAGAAGCGCCTAGAAGCGGGTACCGGAGCGAAGAGCATAGGCCCGCAGAGCAATCCCGGCCAACAGAGACCCAATGTCCAGCAGCTGTTCGCCAAGCAGGAGCAGCAACAACAGACAGTCCAGGCCAATTCGCAACAGGCTCAGCCTCAGACCGCCGGGGTTGAGAATACTGGCTACCAGGACTCAAACGGGGCCATAGCCAAGGATCAGGCGGTGGGTACGGATCCCGCAGAGTCCGAGGTGTACTTCGCCGACGTGAGCAGCTGCTGCAACATGTCCGTGAAGAATGACAGCTACTACGACAATGCTCAGCGCCACCAGGGGCACCATCATCATCATCAGCACCAGCACAGTAATTGTAGCCACAGTAGTGGGCAGAGCAACGCCAACGAGGATTACCTGGCGCAACGTTTTGGTCGCGGCAGGGAACACTCCGTCCGGAGCAGGCTGCCCATCCCACAGACCAGGCGGGAGGACGACTACGAGAGCTCCAATCTGAACATGCCCACGCTGAAGGAGCAACAGCAGCAAGCGCAGCAGCTGCAGAAGGAGATCTCGCGCCAGAGCATGTGCTCCGTTGAGTCGGAGGCCAAGACGGAGTTCACGGATCTCTCACCCTCCACGCCCTGCGGCGGCAATCTACCATTGCCACCGCCAGCGAACTTCGCTAGTGATCCGCCGACGGGTCAGCAGTCCCCCAGCTTCGTGGCCTCGTTCCCCTACTCCTCGGAGTCGCAGTGCCTGGAGGCGCATCGACGCTCTACGAAGAACATCCACGAGCTGCTGATAGCTGGAGTGGGAGGATCCTCGACTGGTGGTTCGGAATCCCACTACGAGGTTATTAACGACCGAACCAATCCCTACCAGCTGCAGCGAACCCAACAAGCCAAGCACAAGACAAAGTCAAAGACGCGATCGCGGGAGCAGCTGGACATCTACGGCAGCGGAGCTGAGCGATCTGACTGGTCATCGGATGGGGGTCGTTTGTGAGGTCCCGACAACCAAGAAGTATTTGTCTAGCAGCGGTTTCACCTTCATTATATTCTCTAAGGATGTGGATCTAGTGAAGATCAGTGATGGGAATCTTTGTGCTCAGACTAAGTTCGGATATCTTATTTATCATACGATATAAGTATCATTCATGTATCTTGGATGGTTGAGTGGCGGCCAGGATACTTCCCGTCACTGCCTATGGAACCACCTTTGGTTTAGAATCGTCGCATTTGTAATGTTTGCCATCCAAAATGAACTCTATTCTATAAAATATCCTCTCTCCCAACTATCGAAGGTCCTCGGGGCCCTAAACCTTGCTTTAACTATTTTACGCGATATCCTTTGCATAGTTTACATAGAACATATATTACTTAATACATATGGTAGCATTGAATTGAATGTTGACAACTTGTAGCAATGATAATCTATGGATATTATATACAAATTATGTTATATTTACCTGCGTATTTACATAGTTGCGTATACACACACCCATATACACATACAAATATATGACTAGTTAGTTAAATGTTAGAGCGCCAGTTAAATTTATTAAAGAAGTACACCAAGTATAACCAAAACATTTTAACAACAGCTTTAAGTCTTCTTATATTAAAATGCGAACTGAGAATTGGGCTCAAACGACAGCATTTGAATGATTGGAAGTGGTACTATGGGGCTCTCTACGATATAAATCAAATATAAGTCGAATTATTAGCTCTGGCTTTCATGCCGATACTACCCCCTTATGACATCGCATCAAAAAACACAAAGATTTATCTTAAAAATTACAATTTGGACTTTAATGACTACGTAAACAGTGTGATGTGTTTCTTAGATTATGACCATTGGTTCACCCCAAACTCTCACTGAGCCACCCGATGCAGGAGCATGAAGACAGCGGTGACCCCTAGACCCAAACTGACTACAGAAGCACCGGCGTTCTTCCTGTCCGCAATACTGCCGTGCGGGATCTCGTTCTCGGAGTCATCGGGCTGCGGCTCTGGAACAGCCAGCTCTTCCACGGCCAGCATGGTGGCCTCATTGATAGTGCGCAGAAGGGGATAGTTCTGGCTGGATCTCTTCGGCGCTGTAGTTACTTTCTTGAAATCCTCGTAGGTATCGTCGTCTAAATTGCAGATTCCCAGGAAATCGTCCGTATCCACGGACCACACCATCACTCCCGCCAACCGCTTGGACATGGCGAACAGCACCTTGTTAGCAATGGAACGAGAGCTATCATAGGTCACCACATTGATTTCCTGGGTGAAGATGTTCCTATCGGACTTGGCCAGCACCTGACTGGTTTTAGGATCCCACTTCTGCGTCCATCCGGATGTTTGATTGCTCAGCGTTCGACAGATCTCATTGTAGCCCAGGAACCCATCCTCCCGCGTATACGGACCCTTGAAGCCAACTCCATCGCTGACGTCGTTTAGGTTGCCCTCGGCCACAGTCTTAAAGGTGCGTCCGTAGAAGGGCAGCCCCATTACCAGCTTTTCGGGCGGTGCTCCCAACTTTAGTAGGTATTCTATGGAGAATTTCTGCAAAAGAAAACCCATTAAAGATGGCCGTTCGAACACTCTCTATTGCATAAGATCAACCATTAAAGGTAAGAAAGATATTAGGGTTCTAGGAACTCATATTTTTACAAGGAACTTTCATGGCAGGTGCACACTCACCACACTGAGGGGATCATCAGCGGGCGCCGCGAGCGGTGCGTTATAGCCCACTCTTTGGTCCCAGCTGCCGTGGTAGTCGTAGCACATGATGTGTAGGTAGTCCAGGTAGCGCGAAATCTGACGCACGTCGTAGGCTTCGTCAATGACTTTCTTAGCCGCTCCGATGGCGGATGTCAGCAGTAATCCGTGCTCATCAAATTCCTCCCGCAGCTCTTTGGTCAGCAGGACGAAGTTCTCGCGATCGGCTGGCTTTCCCTTCCGCTGCGTGGGATACTCCCAGTCCAGATCGAGGCCATCAAAATTGTACTTGCGTATGAAACTGGACACCTGCTTGACGAATCGTCCGCGCAGCAGATCGTTGGCCACCAGCGTGGAGTAGTTGGCCGATCCCTCGTTCCAACCGCCGATGGCCAGGCTGACCTTTAGATGCGGATGACTGCGCTTCAGGCCGGTCAGCTTCTCATAGCCACCCTTGCCGTATTCCTCCTTGAGATCCTGCCAGGGATCTACACGGAAAGGACAGTTCACGATATTAAATAATGTTGACTGCTAAATGAATACGAAATCTCCAAAAACGTATATACTATTTCTCTGCGTGTAACCCAAATGAAAGCCTTTAATTTGCATACGGCCATAAATCGAACCGGAAACTTACCCAACGACTTAATGGCTGCCTGGGTGATGTCCAGACCCGCGAAGGCATAAACCACATGGGTGCACAGGTTGGGATCGAAGTTATCGATGGCATAGGCACCCTGCTCCGGTCGGTAAACAGCCCAGGTGGAAATGTAGCAAACAACCACCTTATCGTGCAAAGGACCTGGCAATAAAAAGTAAAGGACAAACAGTTGGCCACCCCTTTGCGGTTAAGCTGTGCATAAGACTGACCTGTCCTGGCGGTCACTGAAGCCCATAAGCTGCATGAAATAGTTCCTAGGAGGAGGAGCAGCCACAGCTGCGGTGCTTCCCCCCAAACTCTGCCCTTCAACGTCATCTGTGGCTTGGTTTTCCTGGGGAAGACGAAGCGGAATTTAGTAAAATGCTTTGCGTGGTTGGCCAGCAACTATGTTGTGACAATTTCTTCATAATTCCAATTCAGCTCAATTGGCTGCTTAATTGAACGGGAAAAGTGAAAGGCACAAGAACAAAGTCATGTAAAGGCATACAAAAGCCAAAGTCTGAGTATGCAACTTCCAGGGTTTTTTCTTTTTGAGATTGGATTTTCTATTAGATTTAAAAACATTTATTAATTGCTTATATTGCCAGAGCTTGACTTTGGTCAATGAAAATAGGTACTTAAGAACATAACAGAATAATGGATCACAGACCTAGTTCAATCAAGCAATCATTTTGAGAAAACCTTTATGGCACAAATAAAATTTTTATAATAATTAATGATCTGTATTTAAGAAACAATTTTTCAAAGTGTTTTCAAAATATGTAAAGAACTGCACAACGGATCGTGAGTCACAACACATGTACAGTGGCTCCAAGCTTATTTCGTGCAAGAAAAAATCGAATTTTTAATTTGATACTGCTACTAAACCAGCAGAGATATCAAAAAAATTTAAACGCAGTAATGTTAAGAATGTCGCATATTATTAAAATAATAACAAAAGTTTTTACTAATTTAAAAAACAAAAGAATTTTTCATACAAAAACTAAAAAATAGGGCAACTCCGACGCACAAGCTTATTTCGTGCAAGCACTTTAACGGTTAATAACTCTAAACTAGGACTTTTTAATCCATTTTTTTTTCTTAATACTAGTAAAAATATATTAACAAAAGCATATTTATAAGTTTTCGAGGCTGGGGGCACCCAAAAATTACGGATTAACGAGGATTTTCAAACTATGGCGCCACGAATAATAGTCAATAGTTTGTTGAGCAAAGCGAATTAGTCCTTAAACATTTTTAGGATGGGAAAACCCAGGAAATGGTTACCTCAAGCTCTAGTACAAACCCATACATAACCCAAACGCTTTTTTGCGAAAATCGGGTGGCAGATAAGGGCCGTGAAGCTCCGAACACAATTTTTAATGACCAGGAGGAGAGGCGTTTTGTCCGAAAAGTGAAGGAAAACCCCAAGGTATCGGATCCTAAAATAGTTGCGGAGATTGAGAACGAAATTGGCAAAATATATTGCCCAGGTACAGTTCGGAGCACTTAGCATAACCACCACTTTAATGGTCGAGTTTGTAGAAATAAGACCTTCGTTAGTGCCAAAAATAAGTTGGCACGCGTCAAATTCGCCAAGGAACTTGAAACTCGTCCGATTTTGGTCTGGAACGACGTTATATTTGTGGACATATCCAAATGTAATATATTTGGGTCCCATGGGAGGAAATATGTTTTGCGGCGTCCCAATACAGAGCTACATTCAAAAAATAAAAAAGCAGCGGCTAAGCAAGGCGGTGGTCATGCTATAGTTTGGGCATGTATGACTCTGTCCGGCGTCGGAAATTTGGTTTTTATTGACGGAATCATGGATGCCAATAAATATTTAACTATTTTGAAAGAAAATTTGGTGCATACCTTGGGGTTTTCCTTCACTTTTCGGACAAAACGCCTCTCCTCCTGGTCATTAAAAATTGTGTTCGGAGCTTCACGGCCCTTATCTGCCACCCGATTTTCGCAAAAAAGCGTTTGGGTTATGTATGGGTTTGTACTAGAGCTTGAGGTAACCATTTCCTGGGTTTTCCCATCCTAAAAATGTTTAAGGACTAATTCGCTTTGCTCAACAAACTATTGACTATTATTCGTGGCGCCATAGTTTGAAAATCCTCGTTAATCCGTAATTTTTGGGTGCCCCCAGCCTCGAAAACTTATAAATATGCTTTTGTTAATATATTTTTACTAGTATTAAGAAAAAAAAATGGATTAAAAAGTCCTAGTTTAGAGTTATTAACCGTTAAAGTGCTTGCACGAAATAAGCTTGTGCGTCGGAGTTGCCCTATTTTTTAGTTTTTGTATGAAAAATTCTTTTGTTTTTTAAATTAGTAAAAACTTTTGTTATTATTTTAATAATATGCGACATTCTTAACATTACTGCGTTTAAATTTTTTTGATATCTCTGCTGGTTTAGTAGCAGTATCAAATTAAAAATTCGATTTTTTCTTGCACGAAATAAGCTTGGAGCCACTGTATTTTAAAATGTAAATCAAGACGAATGTAATCAAGGAATCCGCTTTGTTCTTTTTAGTACAGATCATTCCACTAATATGGATGTTGAAGTCGAGTGCCATTTTAAGTGGGTAGTCGAACCTGAATCTCAACTTTCGCCGGTGCGCCCTTAAATAAGCAACTGGTCAGCGGATCTTTAGTGCATCGAGCAGAACCATGATTCATACAATCCCAGCGGGTTTTCGCGGCTCCAGACTGTGTTTACCTTCCAAAGGGGTAAACAAGTTGGCCTTGGTATCTCAACTCTGATAACGAGCGGCATGAATAGGCACTTAAAAGTTGGTAATTTTGTGAGAGTTGGAAAAATAGGAAGTGCGCACCGAGAAATGGGTGGAAAACAAAGCAAAGAGTGGTTTCACTTTCCGCCTTTTTTTCCACCAAACGTATGCATATTAATTTGTTTCTTTTTTTATTAGTTTTTGTTGCTCTGGCCCCGGGCAAACCGGAATTTGGCGTTCATCACGAGTTAAGACCCGTCTCGAAAAAAACACAGGTACGAAATCGAAATCGAGAGGAAAAAACCAGGCTATGATGTCGAGAACAAACATCTGATGGAGCCGGAGCTGCGCTCCTAGATGGATTGGTGGGTACGCTCGTACTTTGTAGGTTGCGCATGCGCGGCAGAGGAAGTGGTGGGTCAATTAACAAACACATACGAACTCAAAACGGAGGAGAAACCCTCAGGTGACATAAAAACAAGTATATTCACTCTTTTCTTTAGTAAGTACAACACAAAGGTGTGTGTGACTCCGTTAACGTGCTTAGCGAATCGGGCTTATACGGTTTGGTATTCTACGCGATATGCACTATGTTTTATTACCCGAACTGATGTTGTTGGTTATCCGCTTTAACGACCACTCCAAACTTTGCACCGCCTTCGAAGCCAGCTCGCTTATAACTGAACTCGCCTCTCTTTCTTCTGTCGTGGCCACAGCGAAAATTGATACATATTTATTCGGCTCCGGTTCTTTAGAGCCACTCAAGCCGAACCCGATCCACCCGCCAAGCCACATGGGACTCTCCCCGTGCCGTCCAAGAGCCAAAATGCCAAGACATCGTGCGGGCAAAAGTCGCGCTCAGCATAAAATTATCACCAAAGAGTTAAAACTCTTCGAAGAGAAAGCTTTGGAAGAGAAAATACTTTTAAAGAGATCTGACGATTTTATGGACATTTGATGTAAAGTTTAAAAGAAATTAAAAAAGTCTTCCTGGCGGTCAAGGAAAATCATTAAAAATATCTTGGCAGATATTACAAAACTTTTAAAAAAGTAATTAAGCTTAAGTTAAATCCGATAAAACGTTCTCAATTAATCTAATAAGTCATGTGCTAAATTTTTATTTGAATGATAGGTGTCAAAAATGAAATTTAAACGAAAATATACAAACAGTTAGTAACCTCCTCGCATTAAAGTAAACGAACTCCAGAAAATCAAACATATTTTATACTCAAATCTTATACTTTGAATAGTACCAGCAAGCCGCGCCAAAAAATATCGGTCTATCGGCTAATCGTTTTTTACTGCGCGAAGCCAGTTCCACCACTGAATTCGGACGTAAACAACTGCGTACACGGGGAAATAAGAAAAGTTCAGTGGGTTGGCACGCAAAGAAGGCAACATAGAGAATTAGGAACGACCTCATCAACGATGGACGTAGAGGAGGATCCCGTGCCCAGCGGAGCGGCTTCCGCTTGTAAACGCCAGAAGCGGAACACTGATTCCCTGGACGACGGGCAACTTGAAGACGCGGCGCAGGTTGGGTAAGCTTGGTGTCTATGGTTAAGTAAGTTCTGCGGCTTGGATAACTAATTGATTTTTTTCGGTGGACCGCAGCGAGGAGAAGACTGACATTAAAATCCAGCCTGTAATCGACTGCACCACAGTCACAACCAACAACAATAATAATGACATGTTGGGTAAGGAATATTCGCTGCAAGGGGAAACAGAGCAGCCGGAAAAAGAGATAGAGAAGTCTGAGGAGGATCCGACTAAGAATATGAGTTCGGAGAAGGAGAAACAGGTGGAGGAGCAGTCCGTTGAAGAACAGCCGGGGACCTCCAAACTCGAGTGTCATTTATCACCACAAGCCGCCAGTGCCGTGCTGGCTTCCAATAAGCCAAAGTTCTCCAATACCGTCGACAGTGACGATGACCCGCCTATGTCTCCGCCACCAGGTGACGTTCCCTCTGCAGTAACTTCGCCCAGGTTCAACCAGCGAAACATCCCAGCCACACGCTCTTATCGTCGCCTCAACGTAGAGCTGATTGGCACGATGGTTGATTCGGAATCCAACGATTCCGATGTGGTCGATGTAAGGGAGGACACCGAAGCTGCGGAAGTGGATAGTGATGACCCTGTGGCCGCAACAGTGGATCAGCCTACAGACGAGTCCGGAGAAGACAGTTCTTCCAACGATGAAATAGTTAACTATTCACTTTCTAGTGATTCTTCATCTACTGAGGTAAGGACAAATATTTGTAATATGCCAGCTAAGTTGAATTAATTTGGGACATGTAATACGTACCGATAGAAACATTTCAATACAATTTTTTAGTAGATACTTTACGTTCACTAGCAGTTCTCGCGATTTCTTATAATGGCAATCCAATTTATGGGCATTTAAAGTATTCTGATTTTAATGTTACTTTGTCATAAGTAGACTATTAGTATAAAAATGTTTTCTAAAGTCATTCCAGGGCGAAGTAGAGGCTGACGAGCATTTCAATTCCGACGACCGTGAGAAAATTACTTGCGCTGTAAATGAAGTGTTGTGCAAGTGCAAACCCAAGTACAAGTGGAACTGCGACCAAGAGCTGTTGCATCGGGAGCACAACATAATCAATCGGATTGGTTGGCGTGGCGGCCACACTTCAGCCCAAAGTTTTGGTCAAGGATTTTACGCTTCCCGTCAAGTAGTGGAGCAGATGACCCGGCTTAGTTCATTGAACCAACACGAAGGTTGCGTCAACTGTCTTAACTTTAACCGGGCGGGTGACATGATTTGCTCCGGTTCTGATGATCTCCACATCGTCGTCTGGGATTGGGCAAACGAAAAGCCGCTGCATCGTTTTCGCTCTGGTCACAGTATGAACATCTTCCAGACCAAGTTTATTGACAGCGCAGGCTGCTTAGACATAGTGTCTAGCAGCCGTGATGGCCAGGTACGCCGGTCCGTCATACCCCCCTCCGGAAGCATCAACAAGCCAGTGCGCCTATACACTCATAGTGATTCCGTGCATAAGATAGTCGTGGTGCCCCACAGTCGACACGAGGTGATGAGCGCCGGCGAAGATGCGGCGGTAAAACATTTTGATTTGCGAATAAGCAGCGCGGCCACTACACTGCTGCGCTGCGTCTACCAAGATGAAAAAGAGCGAAGCCGAGTTCGTCTATTCAGCATCGCCCATCATCCGTATGCGCCGGAATTTTGCATCAGCGGAGCCGACGACAAATTGCGGGTCTATGATAAGCGCAAGCTAACGAAACCCCTCTTGGAGATGACCCCGAGCAATATAAAGGATGTGAGCATGCGTCATGCCTTGGCCAGGCAGTCTAATCTCTGTTTTCTTCTCGTGTCCAGACCAAAATCACGCAAATAACCTGCGCCGTCTACAACTACAGCGGCAGCGAGATTCTGGCCTCGTACAACGATGCCGGCATTTATCTATTCGACAGTCGCAACAACAAGGACGGCGACTACTTGCACTCTTACGAGGGCCACATGTAAGTTCATTTAGCAAACCCCCATATGACGCTACTTACTATGTTACTTCTTTCAGCAATAGCCGCACCATCAAGGGAGTCAACTTTTTCGGTCCCCGATCCGAGTATATTATCAGCGGTAGCGACTGCGGAAATATATTCTTTTGGGATAAAAACACTGAGGCGATAATAAACCTAATGAAGGGCGACCACGCTGGCGTTGTTAACTGCCTTGAGCCACATCCGTGGATGCCAGTGCTGGCCACCTCTGGCCTGGACAACGATGTAAAGATCTGGACGCCAAATGGCCCTACTAAGGTACTTGCTATATCTAAGCTATTTCAAATATTTATAAGACAATAAATAAGTGTGCTTTACCGGTTTTTTTTATTTCCGTAGATCGTACCCGACGAGGACTTATTAAAACACACGCTGCATCGCAATTTTAAGCGCAACATTGCGGAAAGTGCTGACTTCGACCATTATAACTTCCAGTACTTTATCCGAGGGTTCCTGGGCGACTCCGGGCTCCGAAGCGGCCGATTGCCGCGCATTAATTGGCCGCGCGAACAGCATAGCTCTAGCTCAAGCGAAGACTCCAGTCCCTCCAATCCGACTCCCCAGCGGCGTAGCAGTAACAGTTCCGACGACATCAATGGCGAGGGAGCAGCCGCCGCTGCTGCGCTAGACACGCTGCACTGCCGTACGCAGTGAGCCTGCAGCTGTGGATGAGCTTCGAAAGCCATCCTCAGCCATCGTTTAATGTTAAAAAGCGTTTCTGAAGCTGTGAATTTGTAACCGTAACACATAAGTGGGCATGATCTATTTTTAAACTGGAGTTAATAAATGCTCAATGAGAAGATCTTACTGTTTTTTTTAATGAAAAATGAAGTGGATAATACTTAATAAAGGCGTATTTTTAAAAGATACATTTTAGAAAAATTGACATTAAATATATTTATTGAATATAATACTGAGAAAGTCATTGATTTTTGAAACATTTCACTTAACCAAAAGTGTATTTCAAACATAAACTTTTTGATTCGTTTTTGTTACATATTTACCAATAAGTTAATAAAGTAAAGCAATTACAAATAAAGTGGTATATGGTTGAAATACATATGTATATATAACAATAGGATGGATCGCAGGAAGGATTAGTCATTGGTCTGACAGATGAGGGCAACGCTCCGCTTGACCCAATGCGAGGCCTTGACATGGGTATTCAGCAGTAGCGGTACCACGTAGTTTGTGGAGTGGCCCGTCGTGGACAGCGTGCCCCTGCGCTCTCCAGTCTTGTAAAGTGGACAGCGATAGCGTGAACCCTCGACAACATCGACGATGCCTATAGGCCGGAAGTAGATCACGGGCATGGCATAGATGAGCACTTTGGGGAATTGCTCTACCAGAGTGTTCTCGCGCCACTCCCAGCGGGCACCCTCCAGGAACAGACCGTTGCAGTACACTCCGTCGTCGGGGGGCGACGCCTTTGTCTCGACCTTTAGAACGTCGTAGTCAAAAGTAAGGGTGTCAATAGGGATCTTGTATTTCCGTGCGAAATTTTGCATGGCGCCCGTTAGGAAGGCCTGTGTGAAAAAGAACCCGGAAAGCCAAAAGGTGGCCGGTTTGCCATGGTGATGCCAGTCGTGCAGCCAGTTAAGACGCTTGTACAGATCCTGGACGTAGGAGCCGAGTGGCTTTAGGCACGGGTAAGACTTGGACATCCACTTGGTCGGAATGCGGTTAAACTTCATAGCTGTCATCACGTTCTCCAGGTCAGGCGTCATAACTAAAATGCCCTTAATTCCCATGGCCAGGTCTCGACACGAGCCACGGATCTCTTTCTGCAATTTCAGAAAGCGCTCCATCTCCTGCACCACCACTGTGTTCATGGACTCGTTGTAGTCCACTGGGTACTTCTCTGCTGCTCCTTCGATGTCCATGTCAGGCGGCATCTCGCGTTCGATCTGCTTGATTGTTTCCAAGATTACCTGCTCTACGCTAGCTCCGCCACCGGTGGATCCTGCAGCCTCGCTGCCCAGTAACTGGATCATTGAGTCGAGCAAAGTCTTGGTCGTCTGCAGGTCACGAGTTATGCCCGAGTTGGCATGCAGACCGTAGACCTCGGGCGGAGCCAGCGAGGGTAGGTTTTCGTCTAGATACCGCAAGATCTCGCGATGCTCTGTTTTGCGAGGTAGGATGTAACGATCGTCGCTAGCAAACCTATAGCGGTTATCTGTCACAGCCTGGGCATTGCAAAAGTCCGCCAGAATCGTCACGATCAGCCGTCGATCCCAGTTGTCCGTAACCCTACCGCCGTAATTACACTCACTTGTCAAATACGAAATGGCATCGTAGGGAACATGTTCATACTGGTTCAACAGCATCTGAAGGAAGCGGGGATAAATAAATATGCTATTGGATACATTCCTTATAGTCCCCACTTACGCTAAGTTGCAGAACAGAAATCTGCAAATCGGACTCGTTGAATCCGTAGGGAATATTCCATCCCAATGGGCCGTACTTCCGGCGCTCCTGGACAACAGCGTGAAAGAAGCAAATTCCGTACAGCAGTCGGGTGAAGGCGCGGTCCTGTTTGGCACAGCCCGTGTAGAACTCGTAGTCGTTTATGGGCTCTGAATTATAAGAACGCATTAGGTTCTCCTTAAGCCCGGTAGGTGGTTCATTGGTCATTTTGACCCCATTCTGGAGGATGGTGACTGGGAACTGGGGCGTGGGATAAGCAGTTAGCCAGATTCGGAAATTGGCTGAAATGGAATGGTTCGGATTAATATCATTTTAGATTCGGAAATACGTTAGAGGATACTCTACTCACGTGTGGTGTTGAAGGTATCCATGTTCTCCCACAAGAATTCTAGGTACGGCATCCAGGAAGCTGCCAAATGACAATTCTGCAGACACACCCAGTAGCCCATCTCCTGGGCGTTTTTGATAAGCGCAGTTGCGATTGGACCCTGGCCCTGACCCAGTGAAATGCTCTGGAAGGTCTCCTCTTGACCCATCTTCTCGGCGAACGCCAGCAGCGAGCCAAGAGGATCCGCTCCGGGCGACAAGATAAATACCAGAGGCGTGAGGGCCGTTGAGTCCGCATACGACTTGGAAATGTCAAACTCCGGTGGGGTCACATACTGGTCACCAATGCATTCGGCAATGAATATGCGCACTGCCAGAAAAACGGAGTCGGGACGCAAGGCCTTCAACACAATAATCTTCTCGAAGGCGGTGGTTTTATCGTGCCAAGGTGGCGGCAGAAGTTGCTTTTCCGGCGAAAAGTGGTCGTAGATCGCCTGCCAGGCTTCTAAATGACTCTTGAAGTGGTCAACTATGCCCCGCAGCTCTTTAAGCTCCTCAAGTCGAAGAAAATTAAGCCACACAGTCTCTGTTATCCAGCTGGGATCCGGGTTCGGAGGTATGTTCGTGGACTCTTTGGCATTTGTGACTAGGTGCGCGAGATGGCGCATCTCCACTTGACCCGTGCCCAGCAGGATGCGGGCAGTAAGAATGAAGGAGTAGAGCAGCTTGTCCTTTTCGAAAATGGAGCGGCACACATTGTTGTACAAATTCTTTGTGAAGCCATCTACCAGGAACTTGATTCGACGGGGCAGATCCTTGGACTTGTTGGCCGTCTCAATAGAATACATGTACAGATTGATGTACCAATTAAGTGAGAACTGGTACATGGGATCGATATTGGGCAGATCGGTGATGGAATAGTACAATATGGAAGAGTGCACTGCTACGGGCTTGTAGTTAAGGCGGAAGGCCTCGATCTTCGCCACAGTCTCCTTGGCCGCCTCCTGCTTTTCCACGATGTCCTTGGAAAGTCCTTTGGAATCCGCCAAGATCTGGATCGCTGCCTCATTTTCCAAGATGTCGCCACCAGCGCTAAGCGTCTTTAAGATCATGTTCTCCGCATCCCGGAGAGCTCCCTTATTGGCCGCTGCCTCCGTCGTGAGCGTGATGCGCAGTTCCTGCAGGTCAGGCCGTTCCTTAGCCACTACAATGCTGAGTAGCTGATCCATCAAGGCATTCTGGGTAAGGGCAAAGTTGATGACGGTCACCTTGTTAAAGGTCTCCGGCAAAAAATGCGGATTACGCAGATTGCACGTCATGTACAGGCGGAAGTTTGGATTAGCCGGCACTACTGATTCGCCTAAGCTGATGAACTTTATTCCGCCCTGCACGAAGGTCTGGCGCATCAAGATAGGATCAAGAGGCACTTCCAGCTCCTCCTGGACGTTCTCTATTATCACCGGTGTTCCGTACTCGAGCGCCTCTGCTATTACCTTCATGTAGTTGCTCTGATTGAACTTCACGCAGTTCAGGCGGTTCTTCCGCTCCATGTTTTTTAGCCAATTGTTGGCCTGCGCCTGGGGATCAATGAACAAGCTGTACCGGCTGGAATTCGCCGATATAATGGCATTCTCGCTAGAAAACTCATCATTGGGTAGTCCGTCCAGTTGCCAATTCTGAATAGTGACCTCCAGGCCCAGCACATCGGTGATAGAGTAATGGGTTGAACAAGGAATTTTTAGGTCCGTGACCTTTTTGAACCAATCCTTAACGCATTCCGAGCGGTACTGCAGATTCACGGCTGAAAGATACGCGATGATCCCGCAGGAGATGAGCACATCGCCAGGAAGATGGTCGTACAACTCCTGTAGATCCTCTGCCGCCTTGTTCCAGCGTGATTTTTCACCACCCAGTCCGCCGATCAGTGCCTCCGCCCGAAGCAGCTTGTTACGGCAGCTCTCGGCATGATCCTCCGTCTTTTGCATCTCCGCGTTAGCTTTGTCCAGTTCGATATTCAGCTGTGCCACCTTTTCTTCCAAGGCCAGAGCCAAGGCTCGTTTCTGGGCAAGGAACTCCATGGTGTCGGCATACTCCTTCTCCGCACCGGCCAGTTTGGCCTTTTTAGGCGCTACCACCTTAGCGACCTCGTCGTACATGTCCATTGCTATGATCCATTGGCACAGACCCTTGGCCGCACTCGAGGCCTTGGCCACCACTTTAGGATCAAAGTCCTTGTTGGGAATAAACTCTTTACGGATACGTTTAATGATATCTGGTGGAATATTATCCTTATCAAACTCCTTAAGAGCCGGCAGGAAGTTCATCTCTCCTAGAAGCCGCTTACTTGGTCCCCAGTAGTCTTGAACCATTTTTCCAGAGGCTGGATCCGGAATGCGCTCCGGCGGAATGCCTTTGATCACACACACTGCGGCCATCACCAGCTTTATAACGGGAGGCGGATTCTTCATAGACTTAACCAGTGTAATGTCCGCCGGCTTTAGAGTATTCAAAGCAGCTAAGGCATCCTCAAGAACAGGAATGGCCTTGGCCAAATCCCGTTCACAATCCTGCTTTAGGACCTGAGCTGCCTCGGCCTGCACGGATGCCACCTCCTCGTCTCGCTTCACTTGCTCGGCGGCGGCGCTTGCTGCTAAAGTTTCCTTGTTTATCTCCAACATCATCTTGCGGGATGCTTCCGCCAGGGCGACTAACTTGGGCTGCAGGGCATTCAGATCCCGCTGCATAATCGAAATGGCGGCCGCTGCCTGAGCCAGTGTGTCTAGGCCACCAATGTAGCGCATCTTGGCTAACATTGTTTCACTTTGCTTGCGGTAAATTAGAGTCTGGAAGGACCGAATGAGCTCGATGAAGGACGCGTTTGTCTGGTAGATGTGGCGTCCAGTCATTTGGCAGAAGGAGCGTGTGGACCGCGCAGCCGTCGTGTGGAAATACTGGCAGGTGTCCATGATAGCCACCTTAATGTCCTCGTTTGGAACATTAACGTCCACCAATGACATTTTGGCAATCATCTGTAGAGCCTCTTCCGGCCAACTGTCGTACCAATCGATAGTGCAACAGTTAACCAGTGAAGGATACAGGCGCACTCTTGTTCTGAGGGCGTCTCCAATGGGCGAAAAACTTAGGATCATGTGCAGCTTCTGCTTGCAACGATCCACAAAGAATGAAAAGACTTGCAGCGCCGAGACGTCAATGTTGCGATTGCCTCCTTGAGCAGCTAGTCGCACCATCTCAAGGACTTCCTGTTTCTCATCGATCGGAAAGATGTTTGGAACCTCTCCCTGGTTTAACAAGCAGTCAATGTCCTGCAAGAAGAGTTCCATCTTGATCTGGTTCTCGGTGATCAGGAAGGTTGTGTGCTTGTTCATTCCGCCCGCCTCCTTTAAAATTGCCTTAATGTCGTCATGCCAGTCATTTGCCCCGTAGTTCTTCGTGATCTCTGGCTGAAAAAACGACGTTTGCACCATATTGGTGGCAAGCTTGGTCAAGGACTGGCGTCCAGAACCGCCCAGTCCGATCATTAGAGCACTGGCTCCTTGAATGGAGATGATGCGGCAAATTCGATTTAAATGCTGAAGAGCAAAGGTGAACAGAGTAATGTCCATCTTGTTCCTGCGGGTAGAGTTGTAGTCTTCGAGGCTACTCGTGGCCAGGTTCAGGAAAACCTCCATGCTGGGCACCTCCTCGTATCTCCTCTCATCCGGAACGTTGTCCTCGTCGAAGTAAACGCCGAACAAGATGTTACCAGCAGCCTCCATGGTGAAAACCTGCTCGTCTTTTTCCTGAAATTCAACACTTCTGGTTATTCATGTTCAGAAATACCTGATTTGATCGCATTTACCTGTACGCAGTATTTCTCAAAGATGGTCTCCACTTTGTCCTTGAAATTAGCCTTGAGGCACTCGTTCAGCTTCTCGAACATCCACTTGCGATCTATATCGTCCACCAAGCGATCGTAAAAAACTCGCATGGCCTCGTGGTACCATACGCGGACGAAGATCTTTTTGTCCGTCACCGACTCCTTTCGCACCAGGGTGCACCCCGTCACAACACGGGAGATGTCTCGCAGGTTGAATATGTAGTGTGATTTGGCAGGCGTGGCCCTGATCTCCGACTGGACGCTCTTGTAAATGCTCTGTGTAGCACTAACTATCTGGTTGGTTACGACGAACACATCTTGTCCGTGGCCAGCACGGCGGAAGCCATTCAACGCAACGTTCAGGAATATGCGGTACATACTGTCATCACTGAAGGTGTTTATGGAATACACGTTGAAGTGGTTCAAGAAGCGGGCATAGACATCCTGACGACTGCCGCCAGGAAGACCACATGCAGCCATGATTAGAACGTTGTGGATATAGACTTTCGAGCTATCCTTTAAATCATAGACATGGCCGTAATCGAAGAACTGGCGTAGTAGCTCCAGGGGTGGTTGTGCGCCGTAAACCTCCTTCACCGGCATGTTCATGTCATCCACAAAAAGTACACTCTGCATACCCTTCGGCGGACCGTAGATGCCTCGCTTCCACTTCTGCAGCTTGGATATGAGCAGCTCCTGGCACTGGTTGGCCGAGATCATGACCGTAAAGGTGATGAATCCCGTTTCGAAGACCTCCTTGTCCAGCTTGTTCATCAGATAGTTTTGTATGTATACCGTCTTCCCAGTGCCAGTCGGTCCTACCAACAACATTCTTTTCTTGTGTTCCACATGCATCTTCAGCAGGTGAATGTAGCGGGCCGTATCCACAGTAGGCACTATCACTCCAGTCTTAGTTTCCTCTACATCCATGCGCTTGGCAAGATCCGGCCAGTACCGCCAGTTTCCACGTTGCTTGTACATGAACACGTAGTCTACCAGCAGACCCTCGGTGGGCGGAGTAATTTCCATCTTGCCCAAAGGTTCCGGAGGCGGAGGATCACTGTCCCATAGCTGCAATAAAGTATTTAATATATTTAATTAGTTTGGATTCGCTTTATAAGTATACATACATTTTTCAGAAAGGCATCAAACTTCTCCCGAGAAGCGGTGTCCAACACCCCACCCACTCCCCAAACCAGAGCAAAGAGCATGGCGGCTTGGAAGTAGGTCTGAATGTACTTCTGGTAGTCCTCCGGATTCTCCTCGATCGCCTCCGCGATCTGCATATCGAAAAGGTCGAAGGCTGTTAGCATACAGTTGAACTCCCCGGGCTTGATGAACTGGCTGCAGAATCTCCGAATGAAAGTCTGGCACTGGAATTGTAGGACGTGTCTAAGTGACATGCTAATTTGCCAAAGTAAAGCAACTCACGGGCGTCAGAAGCCACTGAAGCAAAGCCATCACATATGCCACGCCCTCTTCGTCCGCCCATCGCGGATCGGCCTTCTTTAGCCAGGTTTTTGCGAAGGCCCGCCACCCGAGCGTCGATGGTTCCATGTAGATCATGCCACAACGGGAGACTGTGGCTGGCGAGGCTTGAGACAGATCCATCACCTCAAACACCATTGACATCTCATTGCTCATAGTGATCACCTCGCCGCTGGTCAGGCACAGTTTCTTGTTGTCGTCCAGCACCGTATTCATGTTCTCAATCCAAACTGCATCCACCGGCCCGTCAAAGATGACCTAAAGAAGTACATTAATATTAATCGGGGCCTGATTAACAGAATGTTTAAAAGACTCACCCACTTTCTATCCGGGGTGGGCGTCATAGCAAAGTCACGGAAGATCTTGGCCACCAAGCCATCTGTCCATTCGTATGAGATTGGATCAAAGGAGCCGTACAGCTGGTTCATGGTTATAGATTTGGGGTTCATAATACCCATTTGAACATGTTGAAAGTAATTGCTTTTCTGTGGAGCCTTGATCTTTAGGGCGGAGAGCACCTTGGCAAGAACCTGGAGCGTTTTGGACTTTCCCGCCAGCGGTTCACCCACCAGCATAAATCCGTGTCTTACGATAATCATTTCGTACGTTTGAATGACCTTGAGTAGAAAGCTGGGAGCGGGCTCTAAAACCTCCTCCAAACAAACGCGTTTGAATTCCGATTCCACCAGGGAGTAGTCTATGTGGGGCAATTTAATTCCCGGAAAAATATCCGAGATTATGCCCTCAAATAGGGGAACATCGAAGGACAGAAACTTCGGAAGATTCACATCAATTAAACTGCGCAACAACAGAATGTCCTCCACCTCGTCTGGATACTGCTTCTTAATGTTACCGCAGGCAGAGAGCACCGTCTTCACGGCTCGCATGCCGTAATCATAATGATTCTGGCTGGACAACTGCTCCGAACAGAGTCGGTAGGTTGTAACAATCTTTACGGCAAGCTTGCGCGCATCCACGAATCCGTAGGAGTACAGGGAGATTTCTCCGATCATGGCGTAATCCGGCACCATCATGGCCACGGAACGGAAAAGCACTTTTAAGTTATCCGGAAGCTCGGATCTACCGGCATAGCCGGGATTCATAGTGATGCAAACGTAGCAGGCGGGGTTCAGGGTCAACTCTGTACCTTCAAACATGAACTTTGTTGCATTGGCACGAACTGCTTGAATGATCAGCAGAATCTGTTGTGCCACCACGGAGAGCACTTCCAGCTCAATTCGATTGAACTCATCAAAGCACGCCCAGGCACCGCAGGAGGCCAATCCCTTAAAGAATTTGCCCATCGCCTTGTAGTCCAATCCATCAGAACAATTAAACACCTTGCACTGTACGGCCAGAGCCTTGGCCAAATCCTTGGTCGTTTCAGTCTTTCCCGTTCCAGCAGGACCCTCAGGAGCCCCGTTTAAATGTAGCTGATATGCTCCTACCAGGGTGCGATAGCAACGATCGGTCAGAGGGGTGATTACGAGCCGATCCGAATTTCCCAGATACTCGTTGGCAAAAGGTACAGTAGCGTTGATGATTCTTACCCAGGTGTTGTCGTCCTCCCAATAATAACGCATCTGGGCCAGCCACTGGAAGTCAAACTCGCTGCTCACCTTGTTTTTGATAAGATCCTCTGAAACATCTTTGGCATGCACATCGATCACAATTAACGACTTTATGGTAATCCGATTGATGTTACTGATCTTTGGCGAACGTACCAACGTCACAATGTCATTCAGCTCCTTTGACAGATCCTGAAAGAAGTTCATCATAACGGCCATATTGCCTCCGAAGGTGCGACGCAGGCAACCGTGGACACGGGATGCCCAATACACCTGCGAGATGGCCAGCACCGTCATCTGGGGCCACTCTAAAACCCACTCGTTTCGCTTCACTTTCGGGTAGTGGGCGAAGGAGAGCTCGTTTTGGTACCTCACTGCCTTGAGCATCTCGTCTTCGACACCTATCAGCCATTTCTCCACACTTCCTCCGGCCGCCGCTGTAGACACCTGATCTATAAACTCAATTGATTCCTTGTCACTACTGATCATGGCCAGCACATTCTTGGCCGCATCGAACTCCAAGCTATTGATGCCCTCGAAGCACTTGCTCAGATGAGGGAGCACGCGCAGCGGATCCTTTGTCTCGGATAAGATCTCAAGCATCTCGTCATTGGCCAGGAAAAAGAAGCGCGGGAAATACAGGCGCTTTTTCTCTAGGTAATTACTCACGCCAGTGGCTATATCCTCTAGCAGTTCATTTGCCTTCTGCAGAGACTCCAGCAGACCCGAAACTGGCGCAGTTTCCATTACCAATGGCTGGCGGAGAACCAAACCCATGTTTCTGGTGTAGGTCTGCTCCACGATGACAAAGAGGCGACCCTCCTCGGGCATCTGGGCCACAATATCCTTCGATGAGAAAATAGGCAGCAAGTACAAATAGTTGGCTTGCACCTTTCCCCACTGGTCCAGTGTTTCATTCACCCGCATAATCTTTTCGTACCAAGCTCGCACCTCCTCCTCGCAGGGTTTCATGAACGCTGAGCCTCGCATGACAAGGGTCTTGAGAATATGGTCGTCCAGTAGGGCCTGAATATCATCTAAACTACTGAGGATCATTACACCCGTCTCCTTGTAGGGACCGTAGGGAAACACGCGAGTCTCCCATTCCTTAATCATGGCCTGCAGAGCGTTCCAAAGCTGTAACTCCTTATTGGCTCCTATGCTGATGATCTCAAACTGGTCAAGAACTGGGTCCAGGCCAGAGTTCAGGATCTTGCGCAGAGTGGTACCCGCGTCGGGTGTAACGTCCCAACCTGCAATCTCTGACATTTCCTTCCAGTGGCGCTTGCGCAGAGCCGGATTACACATAGTGTTAACTATGAAAACGCCAGTTGTAAAGTCCTTGATCGATTGGATCATTGAGGTGCACAATCGAAGGGGAACGGGGTGCTTGGCTGGATCCGGATCTTCGGTTTGACCCTGCAACGATATACATATTTATGTATGCTATCAAAAAAATTGTTTACCAGATAATTTTACCTTGAATTTGCACACGGGATTATCGATGAGGTCCTGTTTGATCTTGACCCTGTAGTACTTTTGATTTTTTTGGAACTCCTTCAGGTAATCATCTGTAGTTCGTTCCACGAACTGTGGTTCCAGATACTCAAAAGGTCCATCGTTCCATACGCTCAAGTAACGCTGCCATTCAATACAGCATCTGTAGACATTTTATTAGTTATAATTTAGTGATTCCTTAAGGATAAAGAACTTACTTCATAAGCTCAGCAAAAGGGTAAACAAAAGTTTTTATAATCTCCAGTTTGGGGTACTCAGTTATTGCGATCTTAAAGAGCTTCTCCTCCTTATTGATCCAAGCCACGTAGTCGTCAAAAGTCTTCAGCTGGTCAATAAAGTTTTGCAAGATTATGTAACTGTCGCGGAACTTGTCTGGCCGACTCATGTCGTCGATGACGGCCAACTTGGGTAGCAGGTCATCTATGTCCGTGTTTAGCTTCTTAATGACCTCCTGCAGGTGCTCCTCGAAAGTGAACTTAAACTGTTCCTGCTGCGAGGCATTATAGTCGCAGATGTCATTTATGTCCTTAATCCAATTTATAGTCTTAATGGTTAGGTCGAAGTGGTATTTCGACATCTCAGTCAGCTCAACGATATTGGTACCCACTTGCAGGCAGTACTGTATCCGGTCAGTCAACTCGGCGATCTTGTCCTTTTTTACGTGAATCATGTATTCAGCACTCTCCAGAAGCTCCTCAGTGGATTTCGGAATCTCCAGCGCCCGATATTTGATCTTCTCAAACTCATCACAAATTTCCACCTCTGCCTTAATGTGCTCCCGAATGATTATCGTGGTGATCTCGTCGATCAGATTCTCGGCCAGGCTTCGGAGCCCATTTACAGCCGGCTCGTTGTGGATTACGGCCATCACAAAGTATTCGGTTCCGGGCTCGCTTCGCAGCATTTGAATGAATCCGTAATACATGTCGATCCGGGCGAAGTACTCCTCAAACTCATGCGGCTCCGACAGGAACTGGTTGAGGGCATCTCGCTCCTGCCAGGAGTACAGCGCATAGTACTTGTTCCGAAAGTTATCAATGTACTGTATCACCTCTTGATACGTATGAAGGATTATGTTCTGAACCTATGGAGAATATACATATAAAACTAGATGTTTAATAAATAGTTTAAATGTAAAAAAGAAGTGGCAAAATTTCTTTTTTTTAAAATCATTTTACGGGTTATACTTCGAGGTTATACCTACTTTCTCGATCACATCCTTCAGGAAGTTTTCATTCATCTCGATCTTCAGATAATCGTTAACCTTCGCGTACATGGCCATCGAGGTGAGGGTCTGCACCTGCGGCTGCAGTGGCTCCATCCGGTAGCCAACCATAGAGATCTCAGTTGCGATCTCGGCGAAGGTGCGCAGGATGCCCCAAATATTAGGTCGTGTGTCAAGATCACTGGAGAACTCAGCCCACTCCAAAGACAAGCGCAGCATGGGCATCGTGCGCGGATGACCACACATCCGATACATCTCTTCAAAGGTGCGGATCTTCATATTGGTCATCTCGCGGTTCATCAGACCCTCCAATGCGTTCCAGGCCCTCTTCCACGTACTCATCGGCATCACCCGCTTGCGCATTAGCTTACGCAGCACCAGCACCACCTTGGGGTACCAGGTCCACCTTAGAAAAGTATTTACCTTGTCCAATTGGTTCTGGATATACTTCCGGTAAAACTTATATGACAGCGCCTCACGTCCACCTAATCCCAGCTGTTGCTGCATGGCCCCTGTGGCCAATACGTAGTTAAAAATACACGCGAGGTTTGGCAGTTCTCCGACGGATATGTTGAGGATGGCTCTTAGAGGAAGCTGTAGGATCAGAAGCTTTTGGGCTATGCGACGCCGGTTCTCCAGGAAGTTGCTGTAGTTCTGGGTGCGACCCGGCCGCCTGAAGCTGGTGTCTGGATGCGGAAGTTCAAATTGGGATGGATCCTCGTCGGAGAATTCTGGATGCCGCAGGATATTTTTCATGCTGTAGACCTTCATCAGGCGGTTGAACTCCTCGTGAACGTCTTTCATGTAGGCCTGCACCAGTTCAGGGTACTTGTTCTTCAACCGCTCCGAGGCGAAGCTTAGGATCTTAGCCTCCGTGCGACGTAGCATCGGCGGCACCACAATCTTTCTGACCTCGCGCCGCAGGTTGTCCTCGTAATGAGACTGGGGCAGAAGGCGCATGTCTGGCTCTGGCTGCCACTGCTGGCGCGCCACCCGCACTTTGACATCTGCTGCCTTTTGCTTGAGGAACTGATAGTGTCGGCGTTCGTGCACCTCGCTGATGCGGAACTTTAGCAACGGGTTCTTCATGTAGGGCTCATTATCGTACTTAGTGATGTCCGCAGGCGGACGGTGCATCCGCTCCAGCTTCTTGGAGTACATGTTGGAGCCTTCTTTGGTTACGATTTGAACTAGCAAAGACTACCTTTTTCAATTCTCCGATAGGTATTGTTGCTAAGGCGACTTGTTGTGTTTGTTTTGTTTGTTTACGGGGAAGGTTTTCCGGTATTGCAGGTTCGATGACCTTGGAAGACGACTACCCACTGGTGTGAAAGTTCATGTTTATTTATTGATCGATAGCGTTATCAATTCGATTGAAAATGACATTATAGATACAGAGATTAACAACGGTTTAGCAACAATAATAATAATTACAATAATAATTACAATACGACTCTCTCTTCCGATTGCGTTCGAATATACAAAACTCTAAAACACCCGAAATGTTCGTCAAAAAACAGCCTTAAGTTTATGTCCTATAACTTATCCAGCATGAGAGGTTTTAGGAAAGATGAAGGGCGGAAGGTGCAAGGGCGGGACGTGCTTGTATAGTGTAAAGCGCATTACAGTTCACAAAATTGTACGTATAGAATTACAAAACATAGATGAGCGTTCCTCCCTCACAATAGTATCAATAGATTCGTATCAAAGAAATTGCACGTGTTTGATTTGACAATATTTAAATTGGCTTCTCTTGTATGTTTACTGTTGTGTATAGGTACGTTTAAGCGTTTCCATATCATATACGGACCTGTTCCGGTTCGAACTTGTATCTTTTGATCCTAAATCAAGGAATTTAGCGATCTAATAAGATGTTACAACAAAAATGGTAAAAATCTTTTAATTTTTATACCGACAGAAAACCAGCAATCTAATGAACTGATATTTAAGCTGTGATAAGGTAAACCAGAACAGGCCTGATAGTTCGTAATTATTGCGTGACTACATACCTACTGGGGTAGGCGAATATGCATAATAAACAGTACATAGCCTAGGGGCAACATTAGTGATTGACTCTAGTTCGCTGCGGTTGGGATTCATTGGTCCTTGGGCCGCTCTACTCGCTACCTTTCAAACTGCAGCACGTAGTCTTTAAGCGGGCCAGGCAGGTTCAGACGGTTGATGTTCTGGGCCAGCTTACGGTTCATCGCTTCATAAATGGCCCAGCGGGACAGCTGCTTCAGACTGCGTGGACGACGATAGAGCGATGAGATCAGGGCTATCAATTGCTCCGTTTTTTTGCTGGGCACCTGAGCAACGTAAAAGTTGTGCAACGCCTTGAGGCAATTGAAAAGCGGCTCATGCTGCATGGTCAGGTAGAAGAGGTGTATAACGCGCGTATATGTCGCGTGCGGATCGTTTAGGATAAACTCCTTCTTCGTTATCAAAATAATGTAGTAAAAGAGAAGGTAGCACGAGTTTGTGCGGAACGAACTGCGAAAAGTAGCTAGCTCGTTGGAGAATATGGCGGTACCAGGCGTCGTCTTTCCGCTAAGGACAATATTGGGATCGGCCCCGTACTGAATTAGCGTCAAAGTCAGCTCGTAGACGCACTCCATGTCGTGGCATGTGCGCACATTATGCACCATATCCATCACCGCTTGAAGAATGTGCTGATATGTCTTATTGCAGTCCAGCCCGTGCTGCAGCAGCATCAGAAGGATGTTCTTGATGAAGTCGAAGTTTGTGCGCTTTTGAGCATCGCAGTTAAGCGTAAAATTTTCGCTCACCGTGAACACAAGCACGTGGAGCGGCTTGAGGTTGGCGCGATAGGAGCAATTAGGATTGGCTCCGTGCTGCAGCAGCATGCGTATGCAGTTCAGATAGCAGACCTAGAAAAAGGGAGTATGTGTAGTAGGGATACAATTTATTGTATTAAGCTGCAGACCTTCATGGAGTGAGTGAAATGATGCAAGTGATCCTTATTAATTAATGGCACTAGCAGTACCATAATGGGCACAGATCCATCTCTTCCCACGATGTTGGGATCACCTAAGAAATTAATGGTAGTAAAAGTGATTAATATATCACTCATTCACTTACCATTCTCCTTGATAAGCATGTTAAGGAGCTCGTAGCAGACCTCCCAGTCTCGTAGATGTCGAAACACACAAGCCATGGCACTGTTACCGGCCTGGTTAATCGACTGCTTGGCACCGTTTTGCAGCAGGAACCGTACTAAGTGCAGGACGTCCCATTTGCTCCACTTGTCATAGCCATACCGAGCTTCTTCGAGAGCATAACGCACAATTAAGGCGTGCAACGGTGTGTTTCCCAGTGAGTCAGGGGCATTGATTAGCTCTTTACAGCCGCGTTCAAGCAGGATGCGAAGAGTGGCCAGCGTGTCGTCAGCCGACTTCCGAGCGGCAAATATAACTGAAAGTGTGAAATATTTTAGATATCTGTCTAAAAATATATTTGTTTAAGCACTCACCAACGTGCAGCAGGGTCATTTGTTGAGTGCAAGTCCTAACAGTTGTAATGGCGCCTTGGTGGATGAGTAGCTCGAGGAACCGACCGTCGTGGAGAACAGCATGATGAATCGGGTAATACTCGTCCATGATGAGATTAATTTCCTCCGAACGTGTGACTACTAGCTGCTGGACGCAATTCCAGGCACCTCGTTCGCAGGCTAAGTGCAACAGTGGCTTCTTTACCCGGAAAGGAATCCATGGCTCTTCCATCTTCTGAGTGAGCAGGCTGAGCACATTATACTGATCTCCGTCGATGGCATAGTAGAGGGCGTTTTGCAGCTTAGTGTTTAGCCGCTCGCTTACGTCGTCGACATTATTATGCCACTTGCCGCTCTCCTCGCAGTTACGGGTATGCGCGCCGGGAAAACACATCCTGGTGTCCACGTCGATTCGTGCGCCGTGTCGCAGTAGCAGTTCCACGCACTCTTCATAACCACGCAGGGTAGCAATATGCAGCGGCAGGGAGCACGGTGAGCGGTTTACATCCGGCCGGTGGCGGTGCAGCAGCCACTTAGTGAGATCGATGTGGTTGAGGCCAACGCTGCGCTGCAGGATGTTATAGCCGTAGTCATCATGCATAGCCAGAATGTTCTCGTTCTTAGGTATTTGAATAAGCAGGCTTTCTAGCGTTTGCAGCGATACCTTCGGGTTGGCGCGCAGGATGTCAAACAGCGTCTGGATGGTCTCCTCCGTGGCTTTAGAAAGCTTGCCGTCGCGATGCGAGAGAAGTGCGGATCCAGAGCGGAACACCTGGCTCACAGAGCCTCCCATGGCTTCTGGCTTTTATCCTCAGCGTCCGCCTAACTCTATACTGGCATGCTAGTTTCTCCTGCGACGCAGTTTCCGGGGAGGATCGGCAACAGTAAAATGCGTATCAGTCCCGAATGCGTAAAAATCAATAAGAGCCCTAAAACCTCCGCCCAGATCAGCACTGGATGACGGCTGGGAGGCGAGAGGCTGCTCCGGTGGTGTTTGTCACAGAGTCACACATCCCTGTGGTGCGTTTACAGACTAAATACATTGCATTCAAACATATGAAATGTGTTATTTCCAATTCACTTAAACCTTTTCGCCCAGCTCCGCAGCTTTGCGTCTTCTTCTTTTTTTCGATATGTATAACAGCTGTAACAGGGTGTGTGGGAACATCAAATATCGATAGGTAGTACCAAACAGTGAATACTAATAAGCAGTTACATACTAAATTTTAAATATTAATTGTATACAAAATATTTCTATTATAAAATAATATCTACCAACAACGTATTTTTTTTTTACCAAAAGTAATCTATTAAATAAAATTTTAAGTTGTGAAATATCTTAATGCAGTTTGCCATAGTAACGCTTCACTGTAGCGAATTGGCGCCCAAAGTAAGCAAGCGTCTTGATAGATTACTGAGTTTATAGGAATAAACATGACCAACCGCCTGGAAACCAAGTACGAAAATCTGAGCAGCATCTTCCTGCTGAAGGGACATGACTACCAAAAGCAGTTCTGTCACCTGTACGCCCACCGCCTGGCCGAGATGACGCGCCTTTTGACGCCGCTGGCCCAAAAGAAGTGGGGCAACAAGGAGCCCATCAAGAAGCTATGCGAGCTGAGGGGTGAACAGGACGTACACTGCATTCTGATAGGCACCATATTCAAGCATCAGGCACACAAGCCCAGCATTCTGCGAGACATATCCGAGGAAAACCAATTGGCGCCTCAGCCTCCACGACAGAATTACTCGGATCCGGAGGACAAGATTGTATTAGAAGACGAACTACAGCGTGTGCGACTCCAGGGCGAAGTGAAAGGCCAGCTTATAGCCACCGGAGTTGTGTGTGCCGCCCTTGGAGGTACAGACAGCGAGGGATTCTTTAACGTGGAGGAAATTCTCTTCTACGAAAGTGGACCGCAAAAGCCATTGGCTACTGTTAAACAGAGTCGCCTATTGGTTCTCGTCTCGGGATTGGATCAACTGCAAGCCCACAACTTCGTGGAGCCCCTGAATCTCTTTCAGTACTGGCTAGCTGGTAGTCTAGGCAACGGAAAGGAAGCTGGATCCATAGTGCGTCTTATAGTGGCTGGAAACTCTGTGAGGGCCACTGCCGTAGCCCATGTTCCCACACTCCAGGTGGCTCGGACCCAAGCAAATGCCAACGATACTGTCCAGGCCGTAACCCAACTGGACCAGTGGTTTGCCTCGTGGGCACGCAGTCTGCCCGTAGACATAATGCCTGGAGCATACGACCCAGCCAACTTCATGCTGCCTCAGCAGCCGTTCCATAAATGCATGTTCCCGCAGGCCGCTCAACTAACCTCCTTCCAGTCGGTGACCAATCCCTACAATTGCCGACTAGACGATGCGTTGGTGGTGGGCACCTCAGGCCAGAACGTGTCAGATCTGCTTCGCAGCACTTCCCTGGACTCCTCCCTAGAGGCCCTGCGATGCACCCTCACCTGGGGTCACATTGCCCCTACTGCACCGGACACTCTGGCCTGCTACCCGTACATCGACAGCGACCCGTTCATTTTGCGCGACTGTCCGCACGTGTACTTTGCCGGCAACTGCGAGTCCTTTGGGACGGAGCTGCACGAGGGCTCCCAGGGTAAACGGACACGCCTGGTGTGCGTACCCAGCTTCAGCCGGACGCAGAGCGTGGCCGTAGTTGATCTAGACACGTTGGACTGCCGTCAGGTCAACTTCAGCGTAGATACGGAATGAGATATTCCATTAATAAAATTACACTGTTAAGTCTTGAGAATCACTGGTTTTATTTGCTATCCTAGTGCACCACCGGGCCCAACGGCTCGCCCCTGATGTTGGCCAGATCCAAGCGGGAGTCGATGGTCTCGTCTATCAGTCCGATCACGGCGATGTTGTCCCCACGGATGATGTGCAGTCCCAGGACAATTTGCTCGATGCCCGACGTCGTGGAGAAGACGCGCTCATGACATTCGTCGATGATGATGTTAATGGTCTGGTCGAACCCCTTAAGGGTCCCGATGAAGTTCCGTCCGTCCGCTGTGAGGATGGACACTGTGTGGTTGATATACGACTCCAAACCGGACATTTTTCAGCAGTCTTTCCAAAGTATTGTGTCCAGCGGCAAATAATAAATACAAATTGTAAAAACGCTTGCGACGCGCTTTCCGATAACGATAACACGCCCGTAGCACAGCTGTTCCGCTCCGGTTTTTGTGCTCATGTAATCGCTGCGGTGTTCGTTCTTTTATTTTCCGTAAAAATTAAATTAAAGAATTAAACATGTTGCGTCGTTTTGTGCAAGTGGGTGCCCGGCAGCTGAGCCGAAGCCAATCATCTACTGCAGTCGCTGAAAGGTGGGATCTGTTCGCCGGAGTACTCGTTGAACGCCTTCCTGTGGTCTCCAAGTCGCTAAGTCCTCTAGAGAAACAGTTTCAGGACATGCTGTGGCGAGTGGAGTACGAGGGCAGCCTTAAGTCCGATCACGAGCTAAAGCACGAGCGAGAAATCGTCCAGGCGGATCTGATCAAGCAGGGCAAAGTTCAGGTCGATCTGGAGGACAGCGGCTCCAAGCAGACGGCTCAGGATCTTAAGGATGCTTACGTAGAGGAACTAAAAAAATTTCAGCTGGGCTCCCGCACCACGCCCGATGACAAGGCCAACAGAACCAGTTCTACTGACCGCTGTCTGGAGGAAACGCTCTACCTATTGATCCAGCAGAAACTCGGCCAGCAAGAGCACCTTGTCCTGCCCCAAGGCAAGAGGGAAGAGGGCGAGTCCATGCGGCAGACAGCGGAACGAGTGCTCCGCGAGAAGTGCGGCCAAGACCTGCAGGTTCTTTTTTATGGTAACGCCCCAGTAGGCTACCACAAGTACAAGTATCCCAGCAACCAGCGGACAGAGAGCGTCGGAGCCAAGGTGTTCTTCTACAGAGCATCCCTACGCTCTGGGCAGGTGGCGGAAAAGGTAGCCAAGTTCGAGTGGCTGCCCAAGGACGAGCTCAATGGAAAGCTGACAAATGCAGCTTATGCGGAAAGCATTAGCAAGTTTTTGTTGTAATCGTAATTTTTAAATCTGTTTTGATATCTAACGAATAAATAAATAAAATATTACCTGAAAAGATGAAATAAAAATTTAACTTTCCCAGACAACTATAAAAACAGCAACATTTTAACATTTTTAGACATGCAGCAATATATTTATTTTTGCAATTCATGGATTGTAAATATACGTTCAATACAGAGGCAAATATTTATTGTTTCGTTTTTTTTTTCTGAAAAAGTTTACTACTTTTGTTTTGAATACACGTAGAAACTGGAGAAAACACAAGGCTGGATATTATGTTTTTTGGTAGCAATAGTATCTTAAACTTTTTGATATTTCAATTTTATCTATGTTCGTTACAAGTTACAGACATTCAATATGAAAAATGTGAGTTGCTTGATTACTGGAAGCTAAGCTTTTATCTGTTCTTCAGGCGCATTTCTTTCGCGGAGCGTGGGTATGGGCTCAGATTATTTTGACTATATCCTCGATTAAACATCTTCTCCGGCCACCTGATGCGTTGCCAATCCTTAAACTGAAACGTCCAAATTTAAGATACTTTCGTCGGGGCGTTGTTAAATAAATGCAAAAACTACAAATGGGTTCATAGTCATGTTGATAAATATGTATTGCAAAGTGCTATTGTTGGTTTTAGGTTCATTGTGGCATAGGTTCTTAAATAAGCATTAAACTGTTTGACTTAGAGACTAAATTATCGAAAATAATGGTGTAAATATATATTTTTGTTTGATTTTTTTTTGTGGTTTTCTTGGTTTTTAGAAATATACTTTAAATTGTAAGACATTTGCTCAGGCGCCACTAAACAAGACAATAAAGGCTCTTTAGTTCTGGAACAACGTTCGCGTAAAGTCTATGTAGTCCAGAGCATCCTTGATGGGCTGGCCAGAGCGCGGTTCCGAGAAGGGTTTCATGCGCTGCACGCAGTAGTCCGCCATGTCCTTGGTGAGGTTCTATAAAATACAATATGTTAGCCAATTGTAAAAATATATATTCAATTTATTGGCCAGTTATTGAACTGAAAGACTTACGCAGTAGAGCTCTTCCTTGGTAACGTAGGGGCGGTCGGCGGCGGTGATAGCGCGGAAGGCATTCTCAATTTCCTCGTAGGACTGAACGTTCTCCGTCTCCTTGGAGATCATGAACGCAATGTATTCCTGCAGGGAGACGTAGCCATCCCGGTTGGGATCGACCACATCAAGGATCGCCTCGAACTCCGGGTCTGGCTGTCCCTCCTCCACCATGGGCAGGTCGTAGCCGAGGGCGCGCAGACAGGATTTGAATTCCTGGTGGTTGAGTTTGCCGCTCTTGTCCTTGTCAAAGTGCTTGAACATCATCGAGAACTCCTTGAGCGAGTCCTCGGAGACGCCCGAGTGGTTGCGTGCCTGGATCTGCTGTTCCAGGTTGTGCTGCATGCGCATAGAAAGCTGGTCGAGCTGATCCCATTGTTGGGCCAGACCCACCGTCGAGTGTTCCGTGTAGCGGTTGTCCAAAATAAGGTGCTCCTCCAACAAGGCGCCCAACTCTTCAATCTTCTTGAGGTCGACGCGGCGGGCACGCACCTCGGTGGCCTTGACGCGAAGCGCCTCCAGTTGCTGTTCCAGGGAACCGGAGCCTTCCATCATGGACGTTCTGTAGGATTTGCGATGTTGCATTTGTTTGAGAGTTGGCAGATAAATGAGCGTTAATTAGTAGGGCACAATATCGAGTTAGGTATCAAACAAATCGGAACGTTACAATGATATAATGCATAAGAAAAGCAAATCTTGTTAGAGGTCTGTTACGGGCAGCGAATATTATTTTCTGGATTCGGGCTTGCAACTAGTTTGACTTCCCTTTGTTTTTGGTTTGTACATATTTACAGGTGTCTGTGGGAATTTAGTGGGGCGCGAGTGTTTAGATTTCGGTCGGGATTAGTGTAGTTAAGATTGGTTGTTCATTTAGTTTAGCAACTAATAAAGACGAATGTTGTCTAATTGCTAGAAGCGATTTAAAATAAGAATAGCGCCAAAGGAACGTTCAAATTGTAATTGGAAAAAGCTACTAGATTTGGTTAAACTCTTCGATTGAACAGAATAAATATTAAAATAATTTAAATTGCTCGATTTCTACTTTTTTCTGTATGCTACAACAGTATTTTGCTCTCGATTCGCATGCTAAAGAGTTTAGTTTCGTTAATTTTGAATAAAGTGAGACCAAAAGAATAGTGGAGATTCGGAACAGCACGTTGACGATATACACTCTGATCGGGTGGGTCGGTGCTCTCGCTAATGCAACTAACTAAAACTAGGCCTTAGTCGTTGCTCGAACTTATCGGTGTGGATATATACGAATATTTACAGGCCCTCAGCACGAGGCGCAAAGCAAGAGTTACGGAGAGAGGAGTTATTCCCAAAGGTTAGTGGAGGCGCAGCGTGATTGGGAGCTCGGCTCCAACGCGAGTTAAGAAACCAAAAAGATCACAACAGAAAAAAGAGTTTAAACGCAGAGTGAAGCCTGCTCGCTTAATTACCCTTGACGATTATAACCCAGCATATAATATCTAGAAAATAGAATGGATCTTTCAGTTACGTATTTCATGGGGGAGGAGAGTCGAGACCACAAGACTTGTTTTTGGATTTGTGTGGGTTGGGATGGGTACATGGATTTGATCCAAAGAAAAACCAACACACGTCTGGATTAAGTAACCCCGCGCAAACGGTACCCGAACCCCACTCACCTAGTCTCTGTCAGCCACTGGTGGAAGAGATTGGCATGCTTGGCAAACTCCTTGCGCAGCTTGTCGTTCTCCTCCTGGCGCTTGGCTTCCTTTGCAAGTTCCCCATCGCGTTCCTCTATGATCTTTTGCAGGTTACGCCAGGTCTCCTCAAGAGCTTCCATGGTGAACCACGTGTAGGGGTTGGGTCCAACATTAAAGCTCTTGATTTTCTGGTCGAGTGCTGCCAATGCCTTGAAATCAGCTTCGGCCGACGAAAGAGACGCCTGGAATTGGGCATGCGCGTCGCGCAGGGCGCGGATTTCTTCGATCGAATTGCAGCGAACAGGATCAGTGAGATCCTCCTCGGCATTTTCGAACCAAGAATTGAAGGCCGAAGCTTTCTTGGCAAATGTCAAGTAGAGTTCCTCGATTTGGCGGAACTGCTCCTGCATGGCCAACAGTCGCTGCTTGCGCGTGTCGGAGGCGTCGCGCAACTTCTGCCACCTGGCAATGACGTCTCCATGACGCTTCAGGATTGCTGGGGACTGGGCGTGACTGGCGTTGATCAACTGGTCCTTCAGTGCCGTAATGTTGTGGATACCCTCCTGCTCGAAGGCGTTAAGACCTGGAGAAATATGAAAAGATACAAATTTGTTTCATGCTGCTTCCCTGTGAATCTTACCTGCATCGAATGTCTCTTGCTTGGTCAACAATGTTTGCACGGTGGACAGGTCACGTCCGAACTCGTCGGAGCGCACGTAGTTCTCCTTGTCGTCGATCCAGCTCTCAACCACGTCGGCCTTCCACATGAACTGCAGATAGGCAGAGTTATCCAGCAAGGCGCCCTTGCGGCGAGCGGCCAGGGCAGAAAGGTTGTCCAGTTTAAGACGAAGCTGCTGGCAGCGCTGGGCAATCGACTCGCCATGGTGGTTCTTGGCCTCCACCAATTCACTGCCCTGGTCGCAAATCAAAGAGCAGCGGTCTTTGTGGGCAGTGAAATCTGTTTCGAAAGCGTCGTGCTTCTTCAACAAGCCCTGGACTGCGGCCATCGAGTCACCGTAGTCTTCAACGGACAACAGCTGCTGCTTCTCGGTGATCCAGGCCTCCTCTTCCTCCACCTGAGCGAGGAATTGCTGATAGGTCAGCGATTCATCCAGTTTCTGGCCTCGCGTGGCAGCAAGATTCTTTAGCTCGGCCCAGGCCTGATTAAGCGCCTTCAAGCGCTGCTCAATCTCTGGGACACCGAGGTTAGACACATCCATGAGCTTCTCGCCAGCCTCCTGTACAGCTTGAATGGCCGGCTCATGAGAGGCTAACTCAGCATCTAGACGCTTGTGCTTCTTCTTGAGGTTCTGGACGCCGGTCAAATCGCGACCGTAGTCGTCGGAGCCAACAAGCAGCTTCTTCTCCTTGATCCAGCTCTCCTCGTCAGCGATGTCGCGGAAGAACTGGTGCAGGGTCAGGGCCTCGTTAAGACGAGCCTGTCGATGAGCTGCCAGGTTGCAGATGCGTTCGTAGCGCTCATTAATGCTCTGACGCTTCTCCTGGATGCCGGCAGTGTCGAACTGGCCGCTCTCCACCAAGGAATCGGCCTGGTTGTTCATGTCCTTGATGCGGTCTTCGTGCGCCACGATATCCGCCTCGACCAACTGATGCTTCTTCATGAGGTTTTGGACAGAGGCCAAATCCTTACCAGAATCCTCAGTGGTCAAAAGACTCTCGACCTCGCCCAACCAGAAGTCCAAATCCTTGACAGCAGCGATATAAGTACGCTGCTTATTCGCCTCCTTCAGCTTCAACGACTTTTCGGTAGTCTTATGGGTCAAATACTCCCACTGATCAGCGATCTGCGTCAACCTCTTCTGCACTGCATCCTCTGACCCGCTGCACTGTTTCTTGTCGATCAATTTTCCGCCCATGGCCAACACGCTTTGGATGCGGTCAGCATTAGCCGCCAGCTCTGCCTCGAATGCTTGATGCTTCTGGTGCTTAGACTGGATGTTAGCCGGATCCTTGTAGCTCTCCTCGGTGGCCAGCTGCAGTTTCTCGGCAATCCAGTTCTCAATCTCGTCAGCGTCGCGCGAGAATTGCTGCAATGTCTGCTCGTCTCCCAAACGGGAACGCTTCTCGATCAGACCATCCTTAAGGTGACGCCAGCGCTCCAAAACCTGGTTGCGCTTCTCATCCACCAAGTTAGAGGCATAATGATTTTGGGCAATCAACTGATCCGCCACCGTCTGCAGAGCCGCAATCTTCTGCTCGTGCCCGTTAATAGCCTTGTCGAAGTCCTCGTGCTTCTTAATAAGAGCCTCCACGTTGCCGCCAGCATTAGCATCATCATCTGCATTGAGG